TTTAGGACTATTGGATTTTTGATTTCTCGAGTTTTTATACTTAGATTTCTCTTTTTTTCAATTTTTAAAATTCTATGTTATTCGACTTCAGGAAATTCAGTTCTTCTTTATTTTTCAATTTTCCAATTTTTTTAAATTTTCGATTTTCCAATTTTTCTTTTTTAAAATATTTCGACTTTTCAATCCTCCGATTTTTCCATTTCTCTATGTCTCAGTTTTTGAATTTTTCGCTGTTTCGATTTTTAGATTTCTCGGTTTTTCGCTTTTTTCTTTTGGGCTTTTCAATTTTTTAATTTTCCAATTTTTCGGTGTTTTGATTTTTCAAATTTTCATTTTTTTAAATTCTGGAGTTTCGATTTCTCGATTTGTCGATTTTTCAGTTTTTCAATTTTTGAACTTTAGATGTCTCAGTTTTTCAAAATTTCAATGATGAGCCTTTTCAATTTTTCTTTTCTTCAAGTTTTCGATTTCTGGATTTTTTATTTTTCGATTTCTCGATTTTCCTATGTTTCATGATACGATTTCTCTATTTTGTCCTCTTCAATTTTACGATTTTTAAAAATTTCGTTTTTTAAATTTTTCAGATTTTGATGTTTTTAAATTTTCAGTATTCCGATTTCTGAAGTATTTTTTTATATTTTCCCATTTCTCCGCTTCCCAAAGTTTCGTTTCCTCACTTCAATTTTTCGATTTCTCACGTTTTTATTTTTCATAATTCTAAGTTTTTCGATTTCTCGAGTTTTCAGTTCTTCTTTATTTAAATTTTTCAATTTTCGGAATTTTTAAATTTTCGATTTTCCAATTTTTCTTTTTTAAGAAAAGAAAAGACTTCGCAATTAATCTATTTTTGATTTTCCCACTTCTCATTCTTCAATTCTTCGATTTTTCGACTTTGCTTTTTTGGTTGTTCGATTTCCCAATTTTCCAGGTTTTTAATTTCTCAATTTTTGGATATTTCTATCAGTTTTGGGATTTTTGCAATATTTCAATTTTTCGACTTTAGGACTATTGAATTTTTTGATTTCTCGAGTTTTTAATTTTTGAATTTTGAATTTTTCGTTTAACTTCAGATTTTTCAATTTTCCGACTGTTTTATACGTAGATTTCTCTTTTTTTCAATTTTTAAAATTCTATGTTATTCGATTTCTGGAGTTTTCAGTTCTTCTTTATTTTTCAATTTTCCAATTTTTTTAAATTTTCGATTTTCCAATTTTTCTTTTTTAAAATATTTCGACTTTTCAATCCTCTGATTTTTCCATTTCTCGATGTCTCAGTTTTTGAATTTTTCGATGTTTCGATTTTTGGATTTCTCGGTTTTTCGCTTTTTTCTTTTGGGCTTTTCAATTTTTTAATTTTCCAATTTTTCGGTGTTTTGATTTTTCAAATTATCATTTTTTAAATTCTGGAGTTTCGATTTCTCGATTTGTCGATTTTTCAGTTTTTCAATTTTTGAACTTTAAATGTCTGAGTTTTTCAATATTTCAATGATGAGCTTTCTCAATTCTTCGCTTCTTCAAGTTTTCGATTTCTGGATTTCTTATTTTTCGATTTCTCGATTTTCTTATGTTTCATGATACGATTTCTCTATTTTGTCCTCTTCAATTTTACGATTTTTAAAAATTTCGTTTTTTGAATTTTTCAAATTTTGATGTTTCTAAATTTTCAGTATTCCGATTTCTGAAGTATTTTTTTATATTTTCTCGTTTCTCGACTTCCCAAAGTTTCGTTTTCTCACTTCAAATCTTCAATTTTTCGATTTCTCGAGTTTTCAGTTCTTCTTTATTTCAATTTTTTAATTTTCGGAATTTTTTAATTTTCGATTTTCCAATTTTTCTTTTTTAAAATATTTCGACTTTTCAATCCTCTGATTTTTCCATTTCTCGATGTCTCAGTTTTTGAATTTTTCGATGTTTCGATTTTTAGATTTCTCGGTTTTTCGCTTTTTTTCTTTTGGGCTTTTCAATTTTTCAATTTTCCAATTTTTCGTTGTTTTGATTTTTCAAATTTTTATTTTTTTAAATTCTGGAGTTTCGTTTTCGCGATTTGTCGATTTTTCAGTTTTTCAATTTTTGAACTTTAGATTTTCGAATTTTTGTTTTTTGATTTATTGATGTTTGGATTTCTCGATTATTCAATTTTGCGATTTTTTAGTTATCCATTTTTTTAAATTTTAGAGTATTCGATTTCTCGATTTCTTGATTTTGTAGTTGTTCAGCATTTCTTTTTTTTAATTTTTTAAATTTTGACGTTTTCGATTTTTTGACTTCTGGATTTTTCGATTTTTTTATTTTTTGGATTTTCAGTTTTTCGTTTTTAACTTTGGATTTTTCAATTTTTCGACTGTTTTATATTTCGATTTCTCAATTTTTCAACTTTTCGATGTTTTAATTTTTCAATTTTTAAAATTCTAAGTTATTCGATTTCTGGAGTTTTCAGTTCTTCTTTATTTCATTTTTTCAATTTTCCAGTTTTTCTAAAATTTTCGATTTTTCAATTTTTTTATTTTAATTTTTCTTCTCGGCTTTCTACTCAATTTCTCAATCCTATGATTTTCCGATTTCTCCATGTCTCAGTTTTTCAATTTTTCGAGTTTCTGTTTTTTGATTTCTTAGTTCTCGGCTTTTCAATTTTTCGATTTTTCAATTTTCCGGGGTTCGCTTTTGCATTTATCCGATTTTTCAATTTTTTAAATTCTGTGATTTCGATTTCCCTATTTTCCAATTTTGCGATTTTTTAATTATTCAAAATTTTAGATTTTCCGATTTCTCGATTTTTTGATTTTTCAAATTCTTCAATATTTCTATTTTCCACTTTTTCAAATTTTGACCATGCTAAATTTTCAATTTTCCGATTCCTGAATTAATCTATTTTTGATTTTCCCATTTTTCGACTTCTCAAAGTTTCGATTTTTCAATTCTTCAATTGTTTGATTTTTCGAATTTTCGACTTTGCTTTTTGGTTTTTCAATTTCTCAATTTTCTGATTTTTTAATTTCTCAATTTTTGCATGTTTCTATCAGCTTTGGGATTTTTAAGTGTTTCGATTTTTCGATTTTTTGATTTCTCGATTTTTTACTTTTTGGATTTTCAGCTTTTCGTTAACCTTTAGATTTTTCAATTTTTCAACTGTTTTATACTTTGAATTCTCAATTTTTCAACTTTTCGATGTCTTAATTTTTCAACTTTTAAAATTTCTCGAGCTTTCAGTTCTTCTTTATAATTTTTCAGTTTTCCGAATTTTTATTTAAATTTTGGATTTTTCGAATTTGGCATATTTATATTTCGAAACATCGAAAAATTAAGAAATACCTAAATTGGAAAAACGAAAATTTAAAAATTGAAAAGTTAAAGTATTGAAGTTGTAAAATCGAGAAATCGAAGTATAAAACAGTCCAAAAATTAAAAAATCAGAAGTTTCAAAAACGAAAAATTGAAAATCCAAAAAAGTAAAAATTCAAGAAATCGAAAAAACCAGACCTCAAAAAATCGAAAAACTGAAAAATCACAAAATTCAAAACTGAAAAATCGAAAAATTGAAGAACTGAAAGATCGAAAAATCGAAAAATCTAAAATTTAACACATTGTAAAATTAAAATATCGTAAAATTGAAAAATGTAGAAATCTAAACATCAAAAAATAAAAAAAAAATCGAAAATTTAAAATTTAAAAATCGAAAAACTGTATAATCAACAAATTCGAAAATTGACAAATCGGATAATTCAAAAATCGAAACATCGAAAAATCGAAAAGCCGAAAAGTAAAAAATCAAAAAACCGAAAAATCAAAAAATCTAAACATTGAAAAATTCAAAAGATCGAGAAATCGAGAAGTAGAAAAGTCGAAAATTGTGAAAGTAGCGAAAATAAACAACCACCGAAATTGTGGCTAAAAATACATAATCATTCTGAACGCTTAGAGTCGACATTGGCCTGCGTGTACTCCGGTCTGTGGGTCAAACAAGTTCCCAGGCGATGATAATTCCATTTGTATTTTCCTAACCATGTTGGATTCGAGTCAATAAATTGTAATTCAGATTAATGTGTTTCAATTATCAGTGCTCAGGAACAGACTTATCCACTAAATAATGCAAAGAACTAATCGATGAAATTATTACTCGAAACAATTGATATTTTTATTTAGTTCCAAGAGCGAAAAATGTGTTCACATAACTTCAGATTATCCTATTTGGTTTCCGAACGCGGAGCTTGCAATGCATGAAAAGAATAAATCTAATAATAAATCTAATAATAAATTCTAGAGGGAGCTTCTAGACCTATAAAAAATATTAGATTTATTCAGAGATTGTACAGCACTGGATAAAGAGCGTTTGCATTTTATGCCACAATTTTTTACTAACTTGGTTTCGAAATTTCGGGCGCCAGTTTTTAACGTCGTCCTCACCACAATCCTTCATTCCAGTTTAATTTCCTTCTGCGCGTCGAAATGAATCTAGAACGTGACGCTGAAAATTCCGCTTTAATTTCTTATCTTCCCCTTCACAAGTTTAATCATGCTGCAAGAACAAGCGAATTTTTGTTGCAATCACTAACGTAACTTTAACAGTTTGCGACGGCAAAAAACGCTCTGAATAATTTAAAATCTTAAGTCGAAATTTGCTGAGTTTACAAACTTGGAAACTCCACAAAGAACAAATTAGTTTACCGATTATCCGTCGAGACAAATTGAAATAACTGAGTTCAAGTAATTACGTTTTTAAGGTCAGATATTTATCTGCCTCCGTTCGGAGGGTTGATTTGTTTTTTTGTGTCTACTAATGACAAGTTATTGGGGCGACTTCTATAAATACTCTGGTACTTATAGAAACGTCATTTTCCTTGCGATTTCCAGCAAATTAAATTTTATTCTAAGAAGCCGGCCAAGGCATCATATTTCTAATTTCATTCTCCATGGTGTTAAATTCGAGTTCAGAAAATTTAAATCTCTGTTTTGCCTTCAGTTCAGACGAAGTTGCGCTCACTTTCAGTAATTTTTCTCTTTCAGTGCACCAAAATTACGTGGGAACAGATCACGAAAAAAACCCTTTTTTTCTAAGCGTAGTTTTGAACGAAGACAACAACACTTGCGTGCCCCTTTACCGAGCCATTTTATTCAAAAAAACGGTGAGCTCACACCCTCGCTTTAACCCTCACTTTAAACCGCTTTCAGGGGGCGCAGAAAATCTCGTTACCCATGACCCAAAATAAAATTCTCACCGTTAAACAAATCTTGTCGCATTATCCAAACATGGACCGACTCGACAAAGGACCAAAAGAAATATTTTCGCCCGATTTACAAAAAGACTTACTATTACTAGAGGAACAAGAAGGGTCAGTTAACTTTAAATTTGGAGTAATTTACATGAAGTTCGGCCAAAGTAGCGACGACGAAATTCTCAGCAATGGTAATGGAAGGAGTTTTTTTTTTTGGTTTAAAATGAGAGTGTGCTTTCAGAGTTCGGCAGCTACAGGTTCGAACAATTTCTGTCTTTATTAGGAGAAAAAATTAGATTAAAAGACTGGGATAAATATCGAGGAGGGCTCGATATTAAAGGTAAATATTTTTTCATTTCATTAGGGTTTCGGCGTTTCAGACTGGAATTTTTAAAAGCAGTAATAAAGATTGACATCGGGTTTGAATTTCATTTACGAGATCAAAGATTGCATTTTGCTTTGAATTAGTGGGGGTCTAAAGAATACAAAACACTTCTGCGATACTGAATTGGTCACAAATGTCAAGAACTGATTAGAGTAATTTTTAGCAAACTAAGTCATTTTTTGTTTCTAAGATCTTAAACCTGTTATCAATAAAACTTAAGAGATAGTAGAAATTTTCAAAAATTCGCGTTTCGTCCCGATTTTTTCGTAAATGTTGCTCCGTGACCATCAACACGCTATATTTTTAGCACAGCATGACGAGATCTACGTTTCTGAATTTTTTCACAATTTTTAGACAACTTTTTTAAAAGTGAAATTTTTTCAATGGTCCCCACTTCTTCAAATTTTTGCGAAATTCTGTCATTTTCGAAACTTAACTAAACACATTTTCTTGTAGATTTCGGGCTCTAGAACTCACTTCCGGCCTCGTTTCTTCGATAACTGCAGCCGTTTTTCCGTAATCGACTGTCGAAATATCGGAATTTTTAGAAATTCTCAAAAATTCGCATTTCGTACCGATTCTTTCGAAAATGTTGCTCCGTGAACATCAACACGCTATATTTTTGAAATCAGCACGTCGAGATCTACGTCCCTGAATTTTTTCACAATTTTTAGACAACTTTTTGAAAAGAGAAATTTTTCGAATGGTCCCCTCTTCTTCAAATTTTTGAGAAATTTTGACATTTTCGAAACTTAACTAAACATATTTTCTTGTAGATTTAGAGCCCTAGAACTCACTTCCGGATTCGGTTCTTTGATACCTGCAACCGTTTTTCTGGAATCGACCCCTGAAATATCGAAATTTTTAGAAATTTTCAAAAATTCGTATTTCGTACCGATTCTTGCCAAAATATTGCTCCTTAACCATCAACACGCTAGATTTTTGGAATCAGCTTGTCGAGATCTATGTCCCTGAGTTTTTTCACAATTTTTAGACAACTTTTTGAAAAGACAAAATTTTCCAATTTGCCCTTCAAATTTTGACATTTTCGAAACTTAACTAAACACATTTTCTTGTAGATTTCGGGCTATAGAACTCACTTCCGGCCTCGTTTCTTCGATAACTGCAGCCATTTTTCCATAATCGACTGTCGAAATATCGGAATTTTTAGAAATTCTCAAAAATTCGCATTTCGTACCGATTCTTTCGAAAATGTTGCTCCGTGACCATCAACACGCTATATTTTTGAAATCAGCATGTCGAGATCCACGTCCCTGAATTTTTTCACAATTTTTAGACAACTTTTTGAAAAGAGAAATTTTCCAATTTATCAATTTCTCTATTTTTTAAGCTTACGATTTTTCGACTTTTGAATTTTTGGACTCCTAAATGTTTTGATTTTTCGGTTTCGACTGTTTCATACATCGATTTCTCAATTTTTCAACTTTATAATGTTTTAATTGTGCAATTTTTAAAATTCTAGGTTTTTCGATTTCTCGAGTTTTCAGTTTTTTTTTTTCAATTTGTCAATTTTCCGAATTTTTGAATTCTCGTTTTTCCAATTTTTGTTTTTTCAAATTTTTCGATTTTTCAGTTTATTGATTTCTCGATTTATGGGACTCAGATGTTGCTTTGATTGTTTAATTCCTCGTTTCATCAATTTTTCAATTTTTAACTTTTCTTCTCGGTTTTCGACTTCTCGATTTCTCGATCCTCTGATTTTTCGATTTCTCGAGGTCTCAGTTTTTGAATTTCCAGTTATGCGATTTTTCAATTTTTCAATTTCTTAAATTCTGAAGATTCCATTTCTCGATTTCTCGATGTTTCGATTTTAATAATCATTCAATATTTAAAGTTTCAGATTTTTTAATTTTTCAGTTGTTCACTCTTCGATTTTGCTTTTTTGGTTTTTCGATTCGTCAATTTTCGAGTTTTTTTAATTTCTCAAATTTTGGATATTTCATTCAGTTTTGGGATTTTTCAATATTTCGATTTTTCAACTTTTGGATTTTTCGATTTTTTATTTTTTGAATTTTCTGTTTTTTGTTTTTTAAAGTTTACATTTTCAAATTTTTCTTCTACTTATATTACGATTTCCCAATGTTTCAACTTTTTTATATTTTAATTTTTATAATTCTAAATTTTTCGATTTTTCAAATTTTCAATTTTTCTATATTTTAATTTTTCAATTTTGCGAATTTTTAACTTTTCGATTTGTCAATTTTTTGAGTTCTTGATTTTTTGGATATTTATATCCGTTTTGGGATTTTTCAATATTTCGATTTTTCCACTTCTTCAAATTTCGACCAAATTTTGACATTTTCGAAACTTAACTAAACACATTTTCTTGTAGATTTCGGGCTCTAGAAGTCACTTCCGGCCTCGTTTCTACGATAACTGCAGCCGTTTTTCCGTAATCGACTGTCGAAATATCGGAATTTTTAGAAATTCTCAAAAATTCGCATTTCGTACCGATTCTTTAGAAAATGTTGGTCCGTGACCATCAACACGCTATATTTTTGAAATCAGCATGTCGAGATCTACGTCCCTGAATTTTTTCACAATTTTTAGACAACTTTTTGAAAAGAGAAATTTTTCAATTTATCAATTTTTCGATTTTTTAAGCTTACGATTTTTCGACTTTTGGATTTTTGGATTCCTGAATTTTTTGATTTTTCGGTTTCGACTGTTTTATACTTCGATTTCTCAATTTTTCAACTTTTTAATGTTTTAATTGTGTAATTTTTAAAATTCTAGGTTTTTCGATTTCTCGAGTTTTCAGTTTTTTTTTTCAATTTGTCAGTTTTCCGAATTTTTGAATTCTCGTTTTTCCAATTTTTGTTTTTTCAAATTTTTCGATTTTTCAATTTTTTGATTTCTCGATTTATGGCACTCAGATATTTAAATGCTTTGATTGTTTAATTCCTCGTTTCATCAATTTTTCAATTTTTAACTTTTCTTCTCGGCTTTCGACTCCTCGATTTCTCAATCCTCTGATTTTTCGATTTCTCGAGGTCTCAGTTTTTGAATTTCCAGTTATGCGATTTTTCAATTTTTCAATTTCTTAAATTCTGAGGATTCCATTTCTCGAATTCTCGATTTTCGATTTTAATAATTATTCAATGTTTAAAATTTCAGATTTTTTAATTTCTCGATTTTTTGATTTTTCAGTTCTTCACTCTTCGATTTTGCTTTTTTGTTTGGTTTTTCGATTCGTCAATTTTCCAGTTTTTTTAATTTCTCAAATTTTGGATATTTCATTCAGCTTTGGGATTTTTCAATATTTCGATTTGTCAACTTTTGGGTTTTTCGATTTTTTATTTTTTGAATTTTCTGTTTTTGGTTTTTTAAAGTTTAGATTTTCAAATTTTTCATCTACTTATATTACGATTTCCCAATGTTTCAACTTTTCTATATTTTAATTTTTATAATTCTAGATTTTTCGATTTTTCAAATTTTCAATTTTTATATATTTTAATTTTTCAATTTTGCGAATTTTTAACTTTTCGATTTGTCAATTTTTTGAGTTCTCGATTTTTTTGGATATTTCTATCCGTTTTGGGATTTTTCAATATTTCGATTTTTCCACTTCTTCAAATTTCTACCAAATTTTGACATTTTCGAAACTCAACTAAACACATTTACTTGTAGATTTCGAGCTCTACAACTCACTTCCGGCTTTGTTTCTTCGCTAACTGCAACCGTTTTTCCGGAATCGACCGTTGAAATATCGAAATTTTCAAAAATTTTCAAAAATTTGCATTTCGTACCGATTCTTTCGAAAATGTTGCTCCGTGACCATCAACACGCTATATTTTTGGAATCAGCAGGTCGAGATCTACGTTTCTGAATTTTTTAGACAACTTTTTTAAAGGTGGCTTTTTATTGTTTAAATAGTAATTGTTAGCAAACTACGTCAAATTAGTTTCCAAAATCTTCATCATGAGTGCGCTTAGCATTGTTTAGAGACAATCACGAACCTTTATGTATGAAATTCTAATTCATCAACAACGTAAATAAAGCCTGTTTTGAACTATCCCGGTTCTAACATGCCAATCCCGCTTCCAGGACAGCTCTCGTCCTACACACCCCCGCAACTTCCCAACAATATTATCAGCGCTTTATCTCCACGAGATTAAACGTCTACAATAAGATAACCATGTTTCAGCCGACATGACTGGAAAATACTCCGTGTATACGCTTTACCAGGGGCACGAAATCATGTTCCATGTGTCGACTTTGCTGCCATATTCCAGAGACAACCGCCAGCAGGTGGAACGGAAAAGACACATCGGAAACGACATCGTGAATATAGTGTTCGTCGATGTGGACGACCCCAGCCAGTCGGAAGTTGCACACTCAATCTTCAACCCCACTTGCATCAAATCGCAGTTCACACGTATCCTTTTTTAACTTTGTAGGTCGTGTCGATGACATGTGGAATTTTCTGCGTTGTTGAGCGTAAGCTCGGATGAGAAGTGCTTGCGGAAAACGGGATTCATGCACAAAATAATATCTTAAGTAATAAAAGTCCGCGTGACATTCTACCGTCGGGCTTTTAAATGTATGGTAGATTGATATTTACAAAATGGGAAAGCTGGCTTTATGTTTATTTTTGTAAATCGCATTCCGGGAAAATGTAAATACGGATATTTACAGCGGTGGCTTGACATCCCCGTGTTACAAATTTCGGTGAAACTTGTAATGAGTTTGTATGTACAAATAGCAACGTCAGTAGATAATACATATTTGGACTTGAACTACACATCATTATATATTATATTTATTTATTGACTAACTAGTTACTGCCTTGAAAAATATTATTGTTTAAATTTATCATAATATGTTTTTCTAGATTTTCCATTTTAAATGAATGTCAGAAGTGCCAAAATCAGTCTTACCTTATCAGATACTAGCCCCGCCCACCCACCCTCAATTTTTTTGGAAGGTATATGACTTGCCAAAATTAGTCTCATCCGAGCAAGTACTTCTCATTCTAACGACTAATTTTATTTCAGTTCAATATAAAAGATCACTGATTTCATTCAAATGAAAAGGAGGCAGGGTGGGTGGGCGGGGCTAATTATGTTCTTTTGTCTAGTGAGACTGGAAACTTATAATAGAATCTAGGATGAGAAAAAAAAGAAAAAAAAAAGAGAAACGCTTATCGCACTGTTTTTGTTATATTATTTGCTATAAAATTTGTTTCTTATTTCATGCACTTAACCTATGTAACTTGTATGAAACTATAAACCAAAATCGGTCTTATTTTACAAGTGCTTGCTAAGATAAGACTGATTTTGGCAGATAACATATCTTCTAAGGAAATAGAGGGTGGGTGGGCGGGGCTCTTACTTTCTAAGATAAGACTAATTTTTGCAAATCAAATTTCCCTAACAAAATAGAGGGCGGGTGGGTGGGGTTAGTAGCTGCTGTTGAGATTTTTCGGTTTTTCGATTTATCTATTTTTGAACTTTAGAATTTTTCAATTTTTCCATTCTGCAAATTTTCGATTTCCCGACTTTCTACTTTTCGATTTCTGGATTTTCCTGTATCATGATACGATTTCTCCATTTTTGTACTCTTCAATTTTACGATTTTTAAGAATTTCGATTTTTCAATTTTTCATATGTTGATGTTTCTAAATTTTCAGTTTTCCGATTTCTGAAGATTTTTTTTTTATTTTCCCATTTCTTGACTTCCCAAAGTTTCAATTTTTCAGTTCTTCAATTCTTCAATTTTTCGATTTTTCAGGCTTTTGGTTTTTCAACTTTTAGATTACGATTACGAATACGATTTTTCGACTTTACTTTTTCAATTCTTCGATTATTCCATTTTTCGATTTCTCAATTTTCCAATATTTGAATTTCTCAATTTTTGGATATTTCTTTCAGTTTTGGAATTTTTCAATATTTCGATTCGTCAACTTTTCGATTTTTCGACTTCTGGATTTTTCGATTTTTAATTTTTTTGATTTTGAGTTTTTCATTTTTAAACTTCGGATTTTTCCATTTTTCGACTGTTTTATATTTACACTTCTCAATATTTCAACTTTTTGATATTTTAATTATTTAATTTTTATAATTCTAGATTTTTCTATTTCTCGAATTTTCAGCTCTTCTAAATTTTAATTTTTCAGTTTTTCGAATTTTTAAATTTTGGATTTTTCAATTTTTCCATTCTTCAAATTTTTGATTTCTCGATTTTCCTATGTTACATGATACGATTTCTCTATTTTTGTCCTCTTTAGTTTTACGATTTTTAAATATTTCGATTTTTCAATTTTTCAAATGTTGTTTCTAAGTTTTCAGTTTTCCGATTTCTGAAGTATTTTTTTTTATTTTTCCATTTTTGACTTCCCAAAGTTTTGGTTTCTCACTATTTCCATCCTTCAATTTTTCGATTTTTCAGGTTTTTGATTTTTAAATTTTTCGCTTTTTTAAGCTTACGATTTTTCGACTTTTAGATTTTTGGACTCCTGGGTTTTTGATTTCTCGGTGTTTTACTTTTTGGATTTTCAATGTTTCGTTAAACTGTAGATTTTTCAATTTTTCGACGGTTTTATACTTCGATTTCTCAATTTTTCTACTTTTTAATGTTTTAATTTTGGAATTTTTAAAATTCTAGATTTTTCGATTTCTCGAGTTTTCAGTTCTGTTTTTCAATTTGTCAATTTTCCGAATTTTTGAATTTCCTGTTTTCCAATTTTTCTTTTTTCAAATTGATGCTTTGATTGTTCAATTTCTCGTTTCATCAATTTTTCAATTTTTAACTTTTCTTCTCGGCTTTCGTCTCCTCGATTTCTCAATTCTCTGATTTTTCGAATTCTCGAGGTCTCAGTTTTTGAATTTTCAGTTAGTGGTTTTCCATTTCTTGATTTCTCGATTTTTCAATTTTAATGATTGTTCAATGTTTAAAGTTTCACATTTTTTAATTTCTCGATTTTTTTATTCTTCAATTCTTCCAAATTTCTATTTTTCAATTTGTCAAATTTTAATGTTGCTAAATTTTCAGGTTTCCGATTTCTCAGTTAATCTATTTTTGATCTTCCCATTTCTTGGCTTCTCAAAGTTTCGAGTTTTCAGTTCTTCATTATTCGATTTTTCAATTTTTCGATTTTTTCAACTTTTGGATTTTTGGGTTTTTTATGTTTTGAATTTTCTGTTTTTGGTTTTTTAAAGTTTAGATTTTCAAATTTTTCCTCTACTTTATATCACGATTTCTCAATGTTTCAACTTTTCCATATTTTAATTTTTATAATTCTAGATTTTTCGATTTTTCGAATTTTCAATTCTTCGATATTTTAATTTTTCAATTTTGCGAATTTTTAACTTTTCGATTTTTCAATTTTTTGAGATCTCGATTTTTTGGATATTTCTATCCTTTTTGGGATTTTTCAATATTTCGATTTTTGGACTCCTGGATTTTCTGATTTCTCGATTTTTTTATTTTTTGGATTTTCATTTTTTCGTTAAACTTTAGATTTTTCAGCTTTTTCGATGTTTTAGTTTTTCAATTTTTAAAATTCTAGGTTTTTCAATTTCTCGGGTTTTCAGTTCTATATTTCAATTTGTCAATTTTCCGAATTTTTGGATTTATCAATTTCTCGATCTTCTGATTTTTCGATTTCTCTTTGTCTCTCTCATTTTTGAATTTTTCGATGTTTCGATTTTTGGATATCTCGGTTTTTCAATTTTTTGCTTTTGGAATTTTCAATTTTTGGATTTTCCAATTTTTCGATGTTTCGATTTTTCAGTTATACCATTTTTCAATTTTTCAATTTTCTAAATTCTGGAGCTTCGATTTTAAATTTTATTTTTTGATTTTTTGATGTTTGGATTTCTTGATTTTTCAATTCTTCGATATTTTAATTCATTGTTTTAAATTTTAGATTTTCCGGTTTTTCAGTTCCTCAGTATTTCTAGTTTTTAAAATTTTGACGTTGCTAAATTTTCAGTTTTCCGATTTGTCTATTTTTGGTTTTCCCATTTCTCGACTTCTCCAAGTTTCGATTTTTCAGTTCTTCAATTCTTTGATTTTTCAACTTTGCTGTATTGGTTTTCCAATTTCTCATTTTCCAATTTTTCAGTTCTTCAATAATTTTTAATTTTTCAAACTTTGACGTTTCTGAATTTTCAGTTTTCAGATTTTCCGATTAATCAATTTTTCGATTTTTCATGTTTTTGATTTTTCGTTTTATTTTAGTTTGCAATTTTTCGAGTTTGTTGTTTTGACTTTTCAATTTCTCAATTTTCCAATTTTTGGAGATTTCGTTCAATTGTGATTTTTCAGTTTTTCGATTCTTCAATTATTCTTGTATTTTTCGATTTTTCGACATTCGAGTTTTGGAATTTTTTAGTTTTTCGTTTTTTCGATTTTTCGAGTTCTGGATTTTTCGATTTCTCGACGTTTTACTTTTTGGAATTTCAATTTATCGTTTTTTAAACTTTACACTTTCCAAATTTTCGACTGTTTTATACTTCGATTTCTCAATTTTTCAACTTTTCCGTTTTTAAAATTTAGGGTTTTCGATTTCTCGAATTTTCAGTTCTTCTATATTTCAATTTTTCAATTTTCGTAACTTTTAAATTTTCGATTATTAATTTTTTTAATTTTTCCAATTTCCAATGCTTCAATATTTGGATTTTTAAATTTTAGATTATTCAATTTTTATTTTTTTGACTTTTCCATGTTTTGATTTCTCACTTTTACAATTTTTCGATATTTTGAAATTTCAGATTTTTCGAATTCTCGATTTTTCAGTTCTTCATTCTTCGATTTTTCAATTTTTCGATTTTGATTTTTTGGTTTTTCGATTTTTTCAACTTTTGGATTTTTGGATTTTTTATTTTTTTAATTTTCTGTTTTTGGTTTTTTAAAGTTTAGATTTTCAAATTTTTCGTCTACTTTATATCACGATTTCTCAATGTTTCAGCTTTTCTATATTTTAATTTTTATAATTCTAGATTTTTCGATTTTTCGAATTTTCAATGCTTCTATATTTTAATTTTTCAATTTTGCGAATTTTTAACTTTTCGATTTTTCAATTTTTTGAGATTTCGATTTTTTTGATATTTCTATCCGTTTTGGGATTTTTCAATATTTCGATTTTTGGACTCCTGGATTTTCTGATTTCTCGATTTTTCAGTTCTATATTTCAATTTGTCAATTTTCCGAATTTTAGAATTTTCGATTTATCAATTTCTCGATCCTCTGATTTTTCGATGTTTCGATTTTTGGATTTTTCGGTTTTTCAATTTTTTACTTTTGGACTTTTCAATTTTTGCATTTTCCAATTTTCGATGTTTCGATTTTTCAGTTATCCCATTTTTCAATTTTTCAATTTTCTAAATTCTGGAGCTTCGATTTTAAATTTTTATTTTTTGATTTTTTGATTAAATTTTCAGTTTTCCGTTTGATTTTACCATTTCTCGACTTCTCCAAGTTTCGATTTTTCAGTTCTTCAATTCTTTGATTTTTCAACTTTGCTGTATTGGTTTTTCGATTTCTCAATTTTTCAATTTTTGGATATTTCTTTCAGTTTTGCCATTTTTCAATATTCTGTTTCTTCGACTTTTCGATATTATGGATTTTCGGTTTTTCGACTGATTTATATTTCGATTTGTCAATTTTTTAACTTTTAAATATTTTAATTATTCAATTTTTAAAATTCTAGATTTTAATTTTTCAATTTTCCGAATTTTTAACTTTTCGATTTTGGCATATTTTGGTTTCTCAATTTTGCAAATTTTTGGACTTCTCAATTTTTTTTTACTTTTAAGCTTTTCAATTTTTGAACTAACCGATTTTTCAATTATTTTAATTGTCCAGTTCCGATTTCTTGATTTATTCATTTTTCATTTATTCGATTTTTGAATTTTAGATTTTCGAATTTTTATTTTTTTTGTTTTCTATGATTAGATTTCTCCATATTTCAATTTTACGAAATTTTATTTTTTCGACTTTTCGATTTTTCAGTTCTTCAATAATTTTTAATTTTTCAAACTTTGACGGTTCTCAATTTTAGTTTTCAGATTTCCCAATTAATCAATTTTTCGATTATTCATGTTTTTGATTTTTCAATTTTTCGTTTTTTTTAGTTCGGGATTTTTCGACTTTGTTGTTTTGACTTTTCGTTTTTTAAACTTTTTTCATTCTTCAATTTTTCGAATTGTCAGTTTTTTTAGGTGTTTCAATTTTTCAATATTTCATTTTTGGACTTTTTCAATATTTCTATTCTTCAAATTTTCGACTCCTCGATTTTTTATTTTCCGATTTCACAATTTTCCGATGTTTTAATGATACGATTTTTCAATTTTTAAAATTTTGACGTTTCTAAATTATTATTTTTCCGATTTCTGAAGTATCTTTTTTTACCCATTTCTCGACATCCTTTTTTATGTTTGCGATTTTTGGACTCTACTTTTTTGATTTTTCGTTTCTCAACTTTTTAATTTCTCAGTTTTTCTACATTTCAGTTTTGGGATTTTTCAGTTTTTCTATTCTTCAGTTTTTCTTTCATTTTTCAGTTTTACGATATTTCAGTTTAGGGATTTTTCAATATTTCCATTCTTGGACTTTTCGATTTTTCAATTAATCGATGTTTTGTTTTTCCAATTTCTTGACTTTCATTTTCCAGTTTTACGATATTTCTGTTTTTCAATTCTTCAGTTTTTCTATTTTTTTAGGTTTCGAGTTTTCGACTTCACTTTTTTGACTTTTTGATTTGTCAATTTTTCAATTTTTAATTTCTCAGTTTTTGGATATTTCAGTTTTGAGGTTTTTCAGTTTCTTCATTCTTCAGTTTTTCTTTAATTTTTCATTTTTTCAAAATTTCAGCTTTGGGATAATTTATTATTCAATTTTTCTCTTCAATTTTACGATTTTTAAATATTTCGATTTTTCAATTTTTCAATTTTTTGACTTATCTAAATTCTCAATTTTTCGATTTTTCCATGATTCGAAGTTTTGTTTTTCAATTTTTTTAATTTCTCAATTTTTCTCCGATTTTTCAATTTTTCGATATTTGAGCTTTGGGATTTTTTAGTAATTAGACTTTTCGATTTTTCTAGTTCTGGATTTTTCGATTTCTCGACTTTTTACTTTCTGGATTTTCAATTTGTTTTTTGATTCTTCAATTTTTTGAATTTTCAGTTTTTGTTTAGGTGTGTCAATTTTTCAGTATTTCAATTTTGGACTTTTTCAATATTTCTATTCTTCAAATTTTCGACTTCTCGATTTTTTTATTTTTCGGTTTCTCAAATTTTCCGATGTTTCAGTGATACGATTTTTCAATTTTTTCAAGTTTTGACGTTTCTAAATTTTTGAGTTTTCTGATTTCTGAAGTATTTTTTTTATTTTTCCATTGCTCGGCATCCCAAAATTCTTCAATTTTTCGATTTTTCGGGCTTTTGATTTTTCAATTTTTCGATTTTTTAAGTTTGCGATTTCTCAACTTTGCTTTTTTGATTTTTTATTTCTCAAATTTTCATTTTTTTAATTTCCCAATTTTTGGATATTTCGTTCAATTTTGTGATTTTTCGGTTTTTCGATTTTTGAATTTTCGATTATTTGTTTTTAACTTTTTTTTGATTTTTCAATTTTTCAAATTTTCAGGTTTTTTGGGTGTCAATATTTCAGTTTTGGACTTTTCAATTTTTTAAGTATTTTTCGACTTTGGTTTTTTAGTTTTTTGGGTTTCTCAATTTTCCAATTTTTTAGTTTCTCAAGTTTTTAGATATTTCTTTCAGTTTTGGAATTTTTTCTTATTTCGATTTTTCGACTCTTCGATTTTTGGATTCCTAGATTTTTTGATTTGTGGATTTATTACTTTTTAGATTTTCAATTTTTCGTTTTTTACTTCGATTTCTCAAATTTTCAACTTTCGATATTTTAACTTTTCAGTTTTTTAAATTTTAGGTTTTTCGATTTATCGAGTTTTCAGGTCATCTATATTTCAATTTTTCAATTTTCGGAATTTTTAAATCGAAAAAAATCGAAAATTTAAAAATTCAAAAAATTGAACAATTAAAATATAGAAGAACTGAAAATTCGAAAAATCGAAAAATCTTGAATTTTAACAATTGAAAAATTAAAATTTCGAAAAATTGAAAACTGAGAAATCAAAATATAAACAGCCAATAATTGAAAGTCCATAAGATGAAGAATCGAAAAATCGAAAGATGGAAAAGTCGAAGAAACGAAAAATTGAGAAATTAAAAAATTGGAAAATTGAGAAATCGAAAAACCAATAAAGTAAAGTCGGGAAATGGGAAAATCAAAAATAAAAAATCGGAAAACTGAAAATTTAGCAACGTCAAAATGTGAAAAAATAAAAATACTGAAGAACTGAAAAATCTAAAAATCTAAAATTGAAAACATTGAACAATTAAAATATCGCAAAATTGAAAAATTGAGAAATGCAAACATCAAGAAACAAAAAAAAAATCGAAAATCGAAAATTTAAAAATTCGGAAAATTGGAAAATTGACATATAAAAGAAGTGAAAACTCGAGAATTCGAAAAACCTGGAATTAGAAAAATTGCAAAATTAAATCATCAAAAAGTTAAAAAATTGAGAAATTGAAGAAGTGAGAAATCGAAACTTTAGGAAGTCGAGAAATGGGAAAATGAAAAACTTGCTTCAAAAATTTGAAAAATTGGAATATCGAAACATCGGTTTTTCAATTTTTTTAATTTTCCAATTTTTGGAAATTTCGTTCAATTGTGATTTTTCAGTTTTTCAATTCTTCAATTTTTCGAGAATCGAGTTTTCGAATTTTTTAGTTTCTCGTCTTTTCGATTTTTCGAGTTCTGGATTTTTCGATTTCTCGACTTTACTTTTTGGAATTTCAATTTTTCGTTTTTTAAACTATACACTTTTCAAATTTTCGACTGTTTTATACTTCGATTAAGAACAAGATCGTTAAATATGTTTTAAGTTTCTTGTTCGGAAAAGACGACTCCGTATATTAAGAAAAAATTGACAAGACATAATTTGGGGGACAAATTAAACTTAATAAATGCACAAATTGACCCATTTCCGCTCCAGAAAGGTCAGCTCCAAATTAGCCCTTTTATCAAGCGTGAAAATGTTCATCCGCACGATTGATCAATCACCAAATCCTACTATAAGCTAAACCTGTCAAAATTTCTCCAACCAAAAACAAACACCCTCATAAACAACTCAAGAAATAAATTCCAATCCGATTGAAAACATTTCCAAAATACCTTATCGTGCGTTTTCCTTAACAATCTCCAGACGTGTTTGCCGTCGTAAGTTTGGACCGCGAAAATCAATATCGTCTGTCTGTCTTTTCGGATGAAGCCGTGCCGATATTTGGGCCGAGCCTCCCCTGTCCACCGGTCTTCGAAAACCCTTATCTTTTCAGGGAGTTCCTCTTGGTCAAACTAATCAACGGCGAAAAGGCGACGTTCGAAACTCCCATTTTCGCTGGAAAAAGGGAAAGGACTCTGGACATGCTCATCAAAGACTTGTATTCGGAACACATGGCTGATACCAAAGGGGTGAGTTATTTGTTTAGGAATGTGTTCGTTGGTACAAAAAGGGCGCACGGAATGATATCAGCCTCGGGTTTTGTTTAATTCGGATTTTAACTTTTGCGCGGGATGGGTGGATATTAGTTAATTAAATTAGGGAAATGGGAATTTCGAGTTCGTTGGTGTGGGATTTTTTTAATAAAGGTCGCGATTGCGGTTGTTGGATTGTTTGAAGGGTTAACAGATTTCAGTAACAGATTCTAGGGGTTCAACGGCCTCGAAATGTGTGTTTAAAATGCTGAAATATTTACTTCATCTTAATTACAATGTCATTAGCGAATTAATTACCGTTATTTAGTAATGATTAAATAAAGAAAACGGGTTCAAAGACAGCAAGAAATAATGTTAAAGGGGTTAATGGAAACCCATTTCAGATGTTTCGCATCTAGATTAAAGAAGATGATCTTGATAAACCAGATGAAACGATTTGTTGTCACCTGAGAACTTGTTAGATCTATATGAAGCGATTTGGTTGGTTTGGACTATAATTTCTGCAGGGTCAGATGCAACTATTTTTTTGTTTAACTAATAATTAATTATTTAATTGTGTTTTATACTAGCAAAACATTATTTTATTTTGCATATTTTTATATATCAATCGTTTCGAAAATTTTCCCAAAATTTAAACATTGTCGAGTGAACGAAACACGGCATCCGATAAATTAAAACTGAAGTCTTACTTACCTGTTTTCGGTCCTTTTCGGAAAAATATCCCTCTTCGTTCGTGTTCACAGTACTAATACAGCACATTTTCACTGATATTTATTAATAATAAATTAGAAATTCGTGAAAAGAGCCCTACTTTTAAGCCAAAACGGAGCTCTGATGTTGCTGCCACCAAACCGAAATCAAAACTAAACCCAGAGGACCGAAAAATGTGACGTTTTAGCAGGTAGCTCACGTGACAGTGACGTCATCGTACGTCAGGATGAGTTTCAAAAATTATTTATCCATAGTGTCAACGCAATGTTACAAAACACTAACACTGATGATTTAGTGATGACGCTTATCAAAGAAACGACTAATATCTAAGGTAGAAGTTGCCGAGGAAAAAAAGGAAAATGAAGGAAAAATTTGTTAATAACTTGTCTGCGCATTTGTTCTTATAAATAATAAATTAAATGTAATATATTTTTGTTTCCTTAAGAATATAGAGCTAACAAAGTTAGTTGAGTTACAAAATTCTCTTTTGCTCCACGTTGGCCACCAACGAGCGATTTTTATCATTTTTTTGAAACTTTGCTGGTTTTGAATTTGAATTTTCTGTCCTCGATTGTTGATGCTCAGCAAGAACCACGGGAAGGTCTGGAGCAGATCTCGCTAGGAAAGGAGAGGGCTAGGATTTGTTAATGAGGGATAGAACGTTATACAGTACAATAAAACGGAAATACAATACAAGTACCTACAATCTAGCTACAATACAGAATACACTACAGATACAGATACAATACAAATGCAAAGTTAGTACCCAATCCACCACCGGAAGAAATTGCACCAAAAATTGAGAATGTTGCAAAATGAAAACCCAAGCAAGCACACCGATGGATCTCGGAACGAAATCTATTGGTCGCAGCGCTCACACGCCCAAGGGAGAACCCAGCCGCATAAATCCAAGGCCGTCTGACCTCATCCTTATAGGATGATGCGACCCAGCGTCTAAGGGCCAACAGAACCCCCCCAGACCAAAGCGTCTGACGACATGGAGAATTCAGACTCTGAACCAAAGAATGCACTGTTGCAAAATTAATAAAAAAGCAAGCACACCGATGGAACTCGAAACGAAATCTATAGATCGCAGCGCTCACACGCCCAAGGGAGACGGCAGCCGCATAGATACAGGGCCGACTGACCTCATCCGTTTAGGATGATGAACCTCATCCGTTTAGGATGATGACCCAGCGTCTAAGGGCCAACAGAACCCCCCAGGCCAGAGCGTCTGACGACATGGAGAATTCAGTCTCGGAACCAAAGAATGCACTGTTGCAAAATTAAAACCCAAGCAAATGCACCATGAAAACAAAGCATTTGCACCACTGGAGCTAAATTGGCAAGACCCAAGTTAAGTTAGTAACATACAATATACACTACAAAATGTTTCAATTACAAAAGTTACAATATACAATTCTCCACGTTTGCCGCCAAAGAGCGATGACTTTGCTCGCTCGTTGCTGTTGCCCAGCAAGAACCAAACAATACGAGGAGGTCTGGAGTGCGTCTTGCCATTAAAAGAGAGGACTAAGATTTGATAGCATGCGTGAAGGACACCGTATTTTGTACATTTGGACGCCGTACTATAAAAATGATGCATACGGTATTTTGTGAATTATGAACGCTGTACTTTGTATACTCTAAAGCCGTACTTTATCAGTCCTGAATGCATGCTATTAACAACATATTTAAAAAAAAATCGGGCATTTTTGGAAAAATATCCACTTTCCTTCGTTTTCACAGCACTTAACACAAAACATTTTCGCTAATATTTATTAACAATAAATTAGAAATTCGCTAACACGTGCTACTTTTAATCCAAAACGGAGCTACAGTGTTGCTGCTACCAGCCCGAAATCAAAACTGAACAGAAAGGATCGAAAATGTGACCTTTTATCAGGTAGCTCACGTGACAGTGACGTCATCGTACGTCACGATGAGATTGCAAAAATTATTTTTCACATTTTGGCCGGGAAAATGCACATTTTCGGGGATAATTTAACAATGTTTAAACAAATTGATTTGTTTTTAATAATTTCGGTCTTGTGGGACAACAAGTTTCGGTTTAATTATCTATATATTTATGATTATCATATTTAAACATTATAAGTGATATTAATTATGTTTAAAATTTATTAATTTATATCGTGAAAATGTATAGCTTTGACCACCCGACTTCAATCGTTTCGAAAATTTTCCCAAAATTTAAACATTGTGGTGTGATCGAATCACGGAATCCGATAAATTAAATTCGTGAAAAGAGCTCTATTTTTAAGCCAAAACCGAGTTCCAGTGTTGCTGCTACCAGACCGGAATCAAAACTGAACACAAAGAATCGAAAATGTGCCCTTTTATCAGGTAGCTCACGTGACAGTGACATCATCGTACGTCACGATGAGATTGCAAAAATTATTTTTCATATTTTAGTTCAGAAATTGTACATTTTCGGGGTTAATTTAACAATGTTTAAACAAACTAAATTGTTTTTGCTAACCTCGTGTTCTTAGGTAAATGGATTTCGGTTTAATTATCATATATTCATAGTTATCATATTTAAACATTATGAATTTTATTAATTATGTTTAAATTTTATTTAATTATATCGCGAAAATGTATAGCTTTAACCCACTAACTTCAATCGTTTCGAAAATTTTTCCAAAATTTAAACATTGTCGAATAAACGAATCATGGAATCCGTTAAATTAAAACTGAAGTTTTACTTACCTTGTTTTCGATCCTTTTCGGAAAAATATCCATTTTCGTACGTGTTCACAGCACTAACACAACATATTTTCCGTAATATTTATTAATAATAAACTAGAAATTCGCTAAAACGTTCCACTTTTACGCCAAAATGAAGCGACGATCTTGTCGCCATCAAGCAGAAATTAATACTGAACACAAGGACCCCAAAACGTGACCTTCGGACAGGTAGTTCACGTGACATTGACGTCATCGTACGTCACGATGAGATTGCAAAACTCTGTGCTTTAACGATTTTTAAATGTCTCGATTTTCTAATTTTTCAATTTTTTACTTTCAAAATTTCCAATTTTTCTATTTTTCAATTAATCGATGTTTTGTTTTTCCCATTTCTCGGCTTTCGACTCTTTCGAATCTCCAGTTTTTCTATTTTTTAAGATTTTGAGTTTTCGACTTTATTTTTTTGACTTTTTGATTTCTCAATGTTTCAATTTTCAATTTTTCAGTTTTTAGATATTTTAGTTTTGGGATTTTTTCAGTTTCTCCATTATTCAGTTTTTTTTTTCATTTTTCAATTTTTCCAAATTTCAGTTTATTTGATTAAATTTTTCGATTTTACAATTTCTCAATTTTTAATTTTTCAATTTCTCAATTTCCCGATGTTTCAGTTTTACCAGTGACTATGTATTTAACATCTATACTCACTGGTTTTACGTTTTTTCAATTTCAATTTTTTTCTTCGATTCTTAAATATTTCGATTTCTCATTTTTTCGGTTTTTGGATATTTCAATTTTAAGTTTTCCAGTTTTTCCATTCTTCAGATTTTCTTTCATTTTTAATTTCTCGAAGTTTCAGTTTCGGAATTTTTCAGCTTATTTGATTCAATTTTTCGATTTTACAATTTCTCAATTTTTCAATTTTTCGATTTTCAATTTTTCAATTTCTCAATTTCCCGATGTTTCAGTTTCAGGTTTTTTCATTTTTTTCTTCGATTTTTAAATCTTTCGATTTTTCAATTTTTTAAACTCTCAATTTTTCAATTTTCCTGTTTTTCAATTCTTCGATTTTTCTATTTCTCAGGTTTTTGATTTTTCAATTTTTGCAATTTTTTGAAGGTTTCAGTTTTTCGATTTCTTTATTTTTTTTGTACATTTCAGTTTATCCATTCTTCGGTTTTTCTTTCTTTTTTCAGTTTTTCGATATTTCAGTTTTGGGACTTCAGCGTCGGTTTTTTCTTTTTCGATTTTTAATTTTTCAAATTTAAAAATTTTAGATTTTTCGATTTTTCGATTTTTTGATTTCAGTTTTTCGGTATTTCAATTTTTCAAGTTTTCGAATTTTTCAAATGTTTCGATTTCTTAATCTGTCGATTTTTTCGACTTTCCAGTATTAGATTTTCTGTTTTTCGTTTTTTCAAATTTTCTTTTTCCATTGTTCCGTTATTTCTTTTTTTTATTTTTCCGTTTTTAGATTTTTCGATTTTCCAATTTTTCAACTTTAAATTGCCGTTTTTTCAATTTTGGCCTATTTCGTTTTCTCAAATTTTCGATTTTTTGACTTCATGACTTTTCGATTTCTCGATCTTTTGATTTTTTGAATTTTCCAAATTTTTAAATTTTTTTGTTTCTCGATTTATCGAGGTTTGGATGTTTCGATGTTTTGATTGTTCAATTTTTCGGGTTATCAGTTTTCCAATTTTTGACTTCCCGATTTCTAGATTTTTTGATTTTTCGATTTTTCACTTTTCGGAATTTCGGTTTTTCGATTTTCCAGTCTTTCGATCCCTGGATTTTCAATCATCCGATTTTTCAATTTTTCGATTTTTTAAAGTTTTGTTTTCTCGATTTTTCGTTTTTCGGTTTTTAAATTTTTTAGATTTTTGAATTTTTCATTTTTTCGATTCCACTTTTCGATTTTTAACTACTGGATTTTTCGATGTGTCGATTTTTTTACTTTTTTAATTTTTCATTTTTTCGTTTTTTCGACTTTTTAATTTTTTGTTGTTTTGATTTCCCGATTTCGATTTTTTATTTTCGCTTATTTCCATCTTTCCGTTTTTTCGTTTTATTTTTCGAATTCCCAATTTTTCAATTCCTAACTTTAATTTTATTAAAAACTTTAGATTTTTCAATTTCTTGATTTTTCATGTCAGGTCTTGGATATTGCAATTTTTCCACTTTTCGACTTTCCAGTTTTGGATTTTCGGGGTATCGTTTTTTCAAATTTTTCATTTTTTAAATTTTTCTATTTTTTAATATGTTCATTTCCCAAGATATCGAGTTTTGGATGTTTCGATTTTTCAGTTTTTTGATTCGTTTATAACTTTTGATTTTTTTGGCCTATTTCGGTTTCTCATTTTTTCTATTTTTCCGTTTTTTTCGTTTTTTATTTTCAGTTTTTCGACTTCATGACTTTTAGATTTCTCGATCTTTTGATTTTCCGATTTCTCAATATTTAACTTTTTCAATTGTTTGAATTTTTAAATTTTTTGATTTCTCGATTTACCGAGATTTGGATGTTCGATGGTTTGATTGTTCAATTTTATCAATTTTTCAATTTTTAACTTTTCAATTTCTCACTATTTTGGTTTTTCGATATCTCGATTTTTCGATTTTTCACTTTTCGGAATTTTGGTTTTTCGATTTTCCAGTTTTTCGATGTTCCGATTTTTAAATTTAGGAGTTTTGTTTTCTCGATTTTTCGTTTTTCGGTTTTTAAATTTTAGATTTTTTAATTTTCCGTTTTTTCGATGTTCGACATTGCGACTTTTGACTACCGGATTTTTCGATGTGTCGATTTTGTTAGTTTTTCGATTTTTCAGTTTTTCGTTTTTTCGAATTTTTAATTTTTCCTTGTTTTGATTTCCCGATTTCGATTTCTTATTTTCGCTTATTTCCATCTTTCCGTTTTTTCGTTTTATTTTTCGAATTTCCAATTTTTCAATTCCTAACTTTTCGTTTTTTCGATTATGGCCTGTTTCGGTCTCTCAATTTTTCGATTTTTCGACTTCTCGATCTTTTGATCTTTCTATTTGTCAATATTTAATTTTTTCAATTGTTTCAGTTTTTAAATTTTTGATTTCTGGATTTATCAATTTTTCAATTTTCGACTTTTCGATTTTTCGATCTCTTGATTTTTTTAGATTTTTTACTTTTCGGATTTTTGGTTTTTCGATTTTCTAGTGATGCAACTCTTGAGTTATTCTCTAAAATAAATTGACTGATTCAAAATTGGGCGTATTTTGGATATTTTTGAACATTTCAAAGGACGATTCTGGAAAAAAACCATTGGATTTATCGAAGAAATGAAAGCGGATATGACTTGTGGGGCCCGAAATCTACAAGAAAATGTATTTAGTGAAATTTTGAAAATTCCTGTTGGTTTATTTTTGAAAGAGTTCGAAACAATCTTGGAGACATTTTTTTTAGTTGAAAAGGTGTCTATTATTGTGAGAGAATTTAGTGGCCCTTGATGTTTTTTTTTTTAATTTGAAAAGATCTAGGAGCTACTGGTGCCGTTTTTTTGAAAGATAGTGAAAAAATCTTGTGAGCCATTGAAACCTTTTTTTTTTATTTTAATAGATCTTAGGGACTCCTGGTGGTTATTTTTTTAAAGAATCTTAAACAATCTTGAGAGCGCTAGTGTTCTTTTTTAGTAGATTGTGCAAAAATCTTGTGGACTCTTGGTGTTTAATTCATTCTTAATTTTAAAAAAATCTTGAAAAAATCTTGTGTCTTGTTTTTGAAAAAAAATTAAAAGATATCCAAAATCTTGATGTTTTAAATTTGAAAAAATTTTGGCTCCCTCTAATAAGTACACTTTTTAAAGGAATGTGAAACAATCTTTGAAATTCATCTTGTTTTTTGGAAAATTGTGAAAGAATCTTGTGTTCTTTTTTTAATTTGAAAAGATCTAGGAGCTGTTGGTGTGTTTTTTTTTGGAGATCGTGAAAAAATCTCCATTTTTTTTAATTTTAATAGATCTTAGGGGCTCCTGATAGTTATTTTTTTAAAGAATTTGAAACAATCTTGAGCGTGCTTATTGTTCTTTTTTGGTAGATTATGCTAAAATCTTGTGGACTCTTGGTATTTAATTCAATTTTAATTTAAAAAAAATCTTGAAAAAATCTTGTGTCTTGTTTTTGAAAAAAAATTAAAAGATATCCAAAATCTTGATGTTTTAAATTTGAAAAAATTTTGGCCCCCTCTAGTAAGTACACTTTTTAAAGGAATGTGAAACAATCTTTGAAATTCATCTTGTTTTTTGGAAAATTGTAAAAGAATCTTGTGTTCTTTTTTTAATTTGAAAAGATCTAGAAGCTATTGGTGTGTTTTTTTGGGAGATCGTGAAAAAATCTCCTTTTTTTTTAATTTTAATAGATCTTAGGGGCTCCTGATAGTTACTTTTTTAAAGAATTTGAAACAATCTTGAGAGTGCTTATTGTTCTTTTTTGGTAGATTATGCTTGTGGACTCTTGGCATTTAATTCATTTTTAATTTAAAAAAATCTTGAAAGAATCTTGTGACTTGTTTTTGAAAAAAATTGAAAAGATATCCAAAATCTTGATGTTTTGAATTTGAAACAATTTTGGCTCCATCTGGTAGGTGCAATTTTTAAAAGAATGTGAAACAATCTTTGAAATTCATCTTGGTTTTTAGAAAATTGTGGAAGAATCTTGTGAGTTATCGAAAAATTGATAGCGGATATGACTTCTGGGGCTCGAAATCTACAAGAAATTGTATTAAGTGAAATTTCGAAAATTTTGTTGAAAATTGGTCGTATTTTGCATATTTTTATATATTTCAAAGGACGATTCTGGAAGAACCATTGAAGTTATCGAAGAAATGAAAGCGGATATGACTTCTGCTGCCCGAAATTTACAAGAAAATGTATTTAGTGAAATTTCGAAAATTTTGTCGAAAATTGGACGAAAATTGGGAGTGTTTTGCATATTTTTGAACATTTCAAAGGACGATTCTGGAAAAACCATTGGAGTTATCGAAGAAATGAAAGCGGATGTGACTTCTGCGGCTCGAAATCTACATGAAAATGTATTTAGTAAAATTCACGTGGGCGGCTATCACGCTTGATTAATTCGTGAAACGGAAACCCGATTTCATTGTCAAGGATTAGAGGAATAAACGAAGCGTGAAATGGGGATATTTAAAAAAAATACCGCTTGTTTTGACGGAGGCACTAAATTCGAGATTATGAAGTTCGAAATGAAATTATACAGAAAATAACATCATACTATGGGAGTAACTGAGATTTGCGAGCACAAAAGAGTAGGGAAGGCTTCATTTTGTGTACACAGCAATTTGTTATTCAAATGAAATTTTATAAGTGTAGACGTCTGCAGGCTTCTTTGGAGAATAACGAGAGTGCTGAAAGCGAATTACGGGACTTCACAGCTTGTGTAACTCTGTTTGTTTTAGAGGAAAAAAAGTAACGGAAAATTACCGGTCAATAATTTATTATTCATTTGTATTCATTAACAATAATGAAGTAATAATAATCACACTGGTCAAAGTTTGTTTTCACAGTGGGTCAAGGCGACAAAAACAATCCATTTCGATGCGCTTATCGGCTTCAATTGTTGTGACAAATTTGTTTTTATTGTGTGCGGGTTTAATCAATACTGGCTTGACTAACACCTACAAACAATACATGTAGTTGTTGCTCGAACTAGTCAGATCAGAGTCAACGATTTTCATAGTTGTCGTTTTTCTAGCCAATGCTAAACCGGCGTGCTTTTTCCGACGTCCTCGCCGACGCCCCCCGCAGCACCCGGCTCAAGGAAGACTCCCGACAGATCGAGTTCGTCCGCATCGGTCAGGCTCTTAAACTTGAAGCAATAGTTCGTGGCGATGCGCCAACAAGTCAAGCATCGGCCACATGCTCAGGAACCGTCTTCAGGAAGAGCCCCTGGGAGCCCAACTGTTTCTATCCCGTGTTCCCGGACTACCGGATAACCTGCGCCGACTCCTGGAACGAAAACAAACTCGTTATCGCCACCGAAGAAGGGACTTTCGTCGTGGAAGGTCAGAAGTCGTTGCTTCCAATTACCGTCGATTACTTTAATTTTGTTTCCTCGAAATAGAAACGGGAGTTTATCGCTGAATAAACAGTTTGCGGGGTTGATTTTTATTGAACGTGTTTAAAAAGGGTCATTCGTCTTCGGGTTTTATCGCGGAGTTCGGGACGTAGTTTATGGGAATGGGGGAAGTTGGAGTTTAGCTAACTTCGTGATAGGCAATTGGGAATTGTTGGATCAAATTTGAATCGGTTTTCTCTTTGAGGGATTACTTATGTACACGGTTTTGGGAAGGGTGTTTAGATATTCGTGTTTTAGTTGAGTGTTAAGCGGCGGTTGAACTGTGGAATCACACTTGGAATGGGTTCGCGCTTAGGGAAATGAGGGTGCAGAGAAGGGGTGGCGAGAATTTCTACCGCATTCCATAAATATTACTAACATGGTTATTGCTAATCTAGACCTTACCTGCGGCTCCCCCGGTCTGCGTCAGAACTGACTGCTAGATGATGGGAGCCACAGGTAAATTATAATTATGAAATAATTCGTCGCCTGAGTACTTCTTTGAACTAGAGACCAATTTTATAAACTCTGGATTAATCGATTTTTCAGGTTTTTAATTTCTCAGTTTTTGGATATTTCAGTTTTGGTGTTTCAGTTTTTTTCATTTTTCAATTTTTGGAAATTTCATGATTTTTAATTTTGCGATTTCTCAGTTTTCCAATGTTTCGATTTTACGTTTCTCCTTTTTGTCATTTTCAATTTCACGACTTTTAAATATGTGGTTTTTGACTTTTTGATTTCCCAATTTTTCAATTTTTAATTTCTCAGTTTTCGGATATTTTAGTTTTGAGATTTTTCAGTTTCTCCATTCTTCAGTTTTTCTTTTATTTTTCAATTTTTCGAAATTTCAGCTTTTTGATTTTTTAGAATGTTTATTACTTAATTTTTCGACTTTACAATTTCTCATTTTTTTCAATTTCTCGCTTTTCACATTTTCTCTTCAATTTAACTAGTTTTAAATAATAATTTTTCAATTAATCAATATTTTGTTTTTCCCATTTCTTGAATTTCGATTGTTTCGATTTTGCAGTTTTTCAATTCTTCAATTTTTCTACTTTTTAAGGTTTAGATTCTTTACTTTTTGATTTTTCGATTTCTCAATTTTTCAATTTTTTAATTTCTCAGTTTTTGGATTTTTCATTTCTTCTTTCATTTTTCAATTTCCCGATATTTCAGTTTTCGGATTTTTCAGTTTATTTATTATTAAATTTTTGGATTTTACAATATCTGAATTTTTCAATCTCACGATTGCAATTTTTCGATTTCTTAAATTTCCGACGTTTCAATTTTACGTTTTTCCTTTTTCCCCTCTTCAATTTTAAGATTTTTAGATATGTTTTTTTGCAATTTTTCAAATTGTACTCTTATAAATCCCCAGTTTTTCGATTTTTCATTTCGTCAGTTTTTCAATTTTTCAATTTTTTTAGGTTTTTGATTTTTCAATTTTTCAATATTTTAAGGTTTTGAATTTCGACTTCACTTTTTTGAATTTTTGATTTCTTAATTTTTTAATATTTTATTTTTTAAGTTTTGAGATTTTTCAGTTTTTCCATCTTTCAGTTTTTCAAAATTTCGGTTTTTGGGATTTTTCAGATTATTTAATTTCAATTTCTAAATTTTCAATTTTTTGATTTCTCAACTTTCCGATGATTTAATTTTACGTTTTTTCAATTTTTCTCTCGAATTTAACGATTTTTAAATATTTCGATTTTCTAATTTTTCAATTTTTGACTTTCAAAATTCTCAATTTTTCTATTTTTCAATTAATCGACGCTTTGTTTCTCCCATTTCTCGACTTTCAACTGTTTCGAATTTCTAGTTTTTCAATTCTTCAATTTTTCTATTTTTTAAGGTTTTGAGTTTTCGAGTTTTTTTTTTTTTGACTTTTTGACTTCTCAATCTTCCAATTTTCTATTTTTTTAGTTTTGGGATTTTTTCAGTTTCTCCATTCTTCAGTTTTTCTTTAATTTTTCAATATTTCGAAATTTCAGTTTTGGAATTTTTCAGATTATTTATTAATAAATTTTTCGATTTTACAATTTCTCAATTTTCCAATTTTTGACTTATCAAAATTGTCAATTTTTCGATTTTTTAATTAATCGATGTTTTGATTTCCCATTTCTTAATTTTCAACTGTTTCGATTTTCCAGTTCCATTTCTCAATTTTCCAATTTTTTAATTTCTCAGTTTTTGGATATTTCAGTTTCTGGATTTTTCAGTCTATCTTTCATAATTCAATTTTTCGAAATTTCAGTTTTGGGATTTTTCAGTTTATTTATTATTAAATTTTTTGATTTTACAATTTTGCTCAATTTTTCAAAAATCACGATTTTCAATTTTTCGATTTCTCAATTTCACGTTTTTCCTATTTTTCTCGGCTTCAATTTTACGACTGTTAAATATTTGGTTCTTGCAATTTTTCAAATTTGACTTTTATGAACTTTCAGTTTTTGGATTTTTCAGTTTTTGGATATCTCAAGTTTTTCCATTCTTCAGATTTTCTATCATTTTTCAATTTTTCGAAATTTCATTGTGGCGATTTTTCAGATTATTTATGCTTCAATTTTTCGATTTTACAATTTCGATTTTCAATTTTTCAATTTCTCAATTTCCCGATGTTTTAGTTTTACGTTTTTTTAATTTTTTCTTCGATTTTTTAAATATTTCTCATTTTCAATTTTTTTATTTCTGATTTTCTAAATTCTCAGTTCTTCTAGATTTTTCGATAAGTCGATTTTTCTACTTTTTGGATTTTTAAATTTTATATTTTTCAATTTTTTGATATTTTAGTTTTTCAGTTTTATTAAAAACTTTTCGATTTTTCATGTCAGTTCTTGGATATTTCAATTTTTCAACTTTTTGAATTTTTTAAAAGTTTCGACTTTCCAGTTTTGGATTTTCAGTTTATCGTTTTTTCAAATTTTCGATTTTTTAATTTTTCTTTTTTTTAATTTTTCTATTTTTTAATATTTTGATTTCCCAAGATATCGAGATTTGGTTGTTTCAATATTTTGATTTTTCAGTTTTTTGATTTTTTTGGTCTATTTCGGTTTCTCATTTTTTCTATTTTTCAGTTTTTCGACTTCATGACTTTTAAATTTCTCGATCTTTTGATTTTCCGATTTCTCAATACTTAATTTTTCAGTTTATTTATTATTAAATTTTTTGATTTTAAAATTTTGCTCAATTTTTCAAAACTCTCGATTTTCAATTTTTCGATTTCTCAATTTCACGTTTTTCCAATTTTTCTCTTCTTGCAATTTTTCAAATTTGATTTTTTTGAACTTTCAGTTTTTCGATTTTTCAGTTATTCAGATCTTTAATTTTTAAATATTTTTTGGTATTTGATTTTTCAGTTTTTCAATTTTTTAATTTTTCAGTTTTTGGATATATCGATTTCGAGTTTTTCCAGTTCTTCCATTCTTCAGATTTTCTTTCATTTTCCAATTTTTCGAAATTTCAGCTTTGGAATTTTTCAAATTATTTATGCTTCAATTTTTCGATTTTACAATTTCGATTTTCAATTTTTCAATTTCTCAATTTCCCGATGTTTTAGTTTTATATTTTTTCAATTTTTTCTTCTATTTTTAAACATTTCTATTTTTCCATTTTTTAATTTCTGACTTTCTAAATTCTCAATTTTTCGATTTTCCTGTTTTTCAATTCTCTAATTTTTCGATTTTTCAAGTTTTCGATTTTTCGATTTCTCTATTTTTTAATTTTTCTTTCTTTTTTCAATTTTTAGATTTATGGAGTTCGATTTTTGACTTCTGGATTTTTCGATACTTCGATTTTTCTACTTTTTCGAATTCTAAATTTTTTTTTCGATTTTTAAATTTAGGAGTTTTGTTTTCCCGATTTTTCGTTTTTCGGTTTTTAAACTTTAGATTTTTGAATTTTTCATTGTTTTGATTTCCCGATTTTGATTTTTTATTTAAGCTTATTTCGATTTCTCAGTTTTTCCATGTTTCCGTTTTTTCGTTTTATTTCTCGAATTTCCAATTTTTCGACTTCTAACTTTTCGTTTTTCCGATTTTGGCTTGTTTCGGTTTCTCAATTTTTCGATTTTTCGACTTAATGACTTTTCGACTTCTCGATCTTTTGACTTTCGATTTCTCAATACTTCTTTTTTTTCAATTTTTCGAGTTTTTAAATTTTTGATTTCTCGTTTATCGATTTTTCAAAAATTGGAAAATTGAGAAATCCAAAAAACTAAAAATCCAAAGTCGAAAAATCGTAAACTTAAAAAATTGAAAAAGTCGAAAACTGAATTATTGAAAATTGAGACACCAAAAAAACCTTTCGAAAAATTGAAGAATCAAACAAAAGTTTAAAAAACGAAAAATTGAAAGTCTAGAGAATAAAAAGTCCAGAACTAGAAAAATCGAAAAGTAAAAATACTAAAAAATTCCAAAACTCAAATATCGAAAATTGAAAAATCGAAAAACCGAAAAATAAAAAAATTGAACGAAATATCCAAAAATTGGGAAATTAAAAAATTGAAAATTTGAGAAATAAAAAAATCGAAAAAGTAAAGTTGAGAAATGGCAAACTTAAAAAATCGAAAAATTGAAAAATCAAAAGACCGAAAAATCGAAAAATTGAAGAATTGAAAAATCGAAATTTTGGGATGTCGACAAATGGGAAAATAAAAAAAATACTTCAGAAATCGGAAAACTGAAAATTTAGAAACATCAAAACTTGAAAAAATTGAAAAATCGTATCATGGAAACATCGGAAAATCGGATTTCGATTTTTTATTTTCGCTTATTTCGATTTCTCAGTTTTTCCATCTTTCCGTTTTTTCGTTTTATTGTTCGAATTTTCAATTTTTCAACTTTTAATTTTGACTTTCGATTTCTCAATACTTCTTTTTTTCAATTTATCGAGTTTTTAAATTTTTGATTCCTCGATTTATCGATTTTTCAATTTTTAACTTTTCGATTTCTCGATCTTTTGATTTTTTTCGATTTTTTAGTTTTCGGATTTTTGGTTTTACGGTTTTCCAGCTTTTCGATGTTTCAATTTTCAATTATCGGATTTTTCAATTTTTCGATTTTTTAAATTTTTGAGTTTTAATTTCTCGATTTTTCGTTTTTCGGTTTTTAAATTTACGATTTTTTATGTTTGGATTTCTTGACATCTTTTTCGGTTTTAAAGTTTCTCAATTTTTGAAGTTCTTGATTTACGATTTCTATATTTAGTTTTCATTTTATACTTCTTCGTTTTTACATTTTTGATTTTTCAATTTTACAATTTTTCGATTTTTACTTTTTTTCCGAAAACTTGAGAGAAATCGAAACATTTTAAAATTGGAAGAACTGAAAAATCCGAAAAAATTGAAAAGCCGAAAAACTGAAAAAACATTGAAAAACTAAAACTCGAAATATTGGAAAACCCAAAAATTGTAAAATCGCAAAATTATAGAATCGTCAAAATTGTAAAGTCGAAAAACTGTAACTGAACGCTTAGAATCCGTAAATAAGTTAATTTCCAAATTTAAACTTTCCTCATTAGAACTCCGGGAATGAAATTCCACCACTATTCAGTCGTTGTCACCGCACCTGAACACGATACTTTCACCAAGAAATTATCATAACAAATCCACTTTTCCAGCTCCTTCCTGAATAAAAACGACACTGTTTCCTTTAAAAATTCCCTCATCATAAATTCTCCGCCTCACAATTCTTCCAAAAACAAAGTTAAGCCGCTTTAATTTTTTCCCTCTCTTCTCCATTTAAATTAGCACGAAAGCACAATTTTTTTTGTGTGAATCGTTGCATTTCCGGTTGCATTTTTGCGCTCGAAAAGCCATTATTTAACTCCTCTAGACCGTATGCAATTACCGTCCTGATAAGTATCGACCGAAAAGCTAACGCGTCATTGTTTCGCATCTTTTGAAAAGTGAGTATATTGCAATTCGTTCTAAACAATCGTCTTTAATACGAACAAAGCCCATCTAACAAAGCAATAAAAGTTTCATCGACTTCGTATGGCGCTGACAACTGGCAAATCTTTTGCTTTGTACTTTGTTGAAGCAATTGCTTCCTCGACAGCTTTATGTCGACGTTAAGTGAAAGAACGATTTTATGCCGTTTTTAAAGCGATAATAATTCTGATTTATTTTTTAATAGACGGCACTTCCCACCACCAAATTTTCGACCGGTCCTTGCAAGTGAGGCAACTGAGTGTGGTGGAGGCCCACGGAATCCTGCTGCTGAGGGCGGCACACTCGAGCAAAGAGTCAAACAGAATCTACATCTTCAGACTTTCCAATATCGAATCTTTGGACGCTTCTAAAACCCGTTCGAACGTCAAAGGGCAGCGATTAGAAAGGACCAGAGGGACAAATTTGTACTCCATTTCTCGCTCAGGTGGGTACCTTTCCGGAAAAATTAGTCGACAATTTCTTTTGTTTCGTAAAGAGCGAACTTAGCTTTCAAATTAGCCCCTTCAACACACTTTGATTTAATTATAAAGTTAAATTAAACAGGCGGTGTATAGGTGGGCTTCTTCGATTACGACATTTTATTGGGAGTTAAGTGTTATTGGAAACTCCCGGATTTGCATTTATATTTACGGGAGTCGGAAAGAATAAGATAAAAAAGCCCGGTGTTTGGAAACTCATTAATTGTGTTAGGTTTGATCCCTTGCGAGTAGTGCAGCCGACAAGTTTTAATTGAAATTTGAATTCCTTTGTCCGAACGCTTGGATGGCTAGGAATTGCTTACCACGAACTGGAACTCTTTGTTTCGGGCTTGAGCTTAATATACTTTACGCGTTTTCAAGCAGCGGTGTAGACTTTCAGGAAATTTCTAAAAGATTGTCTTCCAGGAGGAGGAAGGCTGAGGATGTGCGTGGCCATAGGGCGTCGGTTGCAGATGTACCAGTGGAAGCACTCGGCTGCGTGGACTACGTGGTGCGCCCCCAATGATAACGACACCGTGGAAGGTTTCTCCTTCTATTGGGTGAGTACACGTTTGTCGGATTGTGTTTTCGTCTGTCTGTCTGTCTACTGTCTGTCCGGAGTAATACTTGCTAAAATAAGACCGATTTCTCGATTTCCCAAAGTTTCGATTTCTCATTCCTTCAATTCTTCAATTTTTTGAGTTTTCAGGTTTTCGATTTTTCAATTTTCCAATTTTTATATTTCTCGATTTTTTGGATATTTCTCAATGTTTCAACTTTTTGATGATTTAATTTTGCAATTTTTAAAATTCTAGATTTTTCCATTTGTCGAGTTTTCAGTTCTTTATTTCCATTTTTCAATTTTCCGAATTTTTAAATTTTCGATTTTCCAATTTTTCAATTCTTCCAAATTTTTTCAAATTTTGACGTTGCTACATTTTCAGTTTTCCGATTTCTCAATTTTCCAATTTTTGAATTTCTCAATTTTGGGTATTTATATCAGTTTTGGAATTTTCCAATATTTCGATTCGTCGATTTTTCGATTTTTCGAATTCTGAATTTTTTCGACTGTTTTATATTTCCACTTCTCACTTTTTCAACCTTTCAATTTTTAATTTTTCAATTTTTATAATTCTAGAATTTTCGATTTCTCGAATTTTCAGTTCTTCTAAATTAAAATTTTTCATTTTTCGAATTTTTAAATTTTCGATTTCTCGATTTTCCTGTTTCATGATACGACTTCGCTATTTTTGTCCTCTCCAATTTTACGATTTTTAAAAATTTGTTTTTTTCAATTTTTCAAATGTTGATATTTTTGTATTGTCAGTTTTCAGATTTCTGAAGCAATTTTTTCATTTTTTCGGTTTCTCAATTTTCCAATTTTTTATTTTCTTGATTTTTTGGATATTTCTATCAGTTTTCTGGATTTTTTGATTTCTCGATTCTTTTTATTTTTTGGATTTTCAATTTTTCGTTAAACTTTAGATTTTTAAATTTTTCGCCTGTTTTATACTTCGATTTCTCAATTTTTCACCTTTTTGATGATTTAATTTTGCAATTTTTTAAATTCTAGGTTTTTCGATTTTTTGAGTTTTCACTTCTTTTATATTTCAATTTTCCAATTTCCCGAATTTTTAAGTTTTAGATTTTCGAATTTTTTTTCTGATTTCTCGATTTTTCAATATTGCTATATTTTAATTGTTCAATGTTTTAAATTTTCGATTTTTTAAATTTTCGATTCCTCCAAATTTCTATTTTCCAATTTTTCAAACTTTGACGTTGCTACATTTTCAGTTTTCCGATTTCTCAGTTTCTCGATTTTTGGATATTTCTTTCAGCTTTGGAATTTTTCAACATTTCAATTTATCGACTTTGCGATTTTTGGACACCTGGATTTTTTGATTCTCGATTTTTTTTATTTTTTGGATTTTCAATTTTTCGTTAAACTTTAGATTTTTCAATTTTTCCACTGTTTTATATTTCGATTTCTCAATGTTTCAACTTTTTGATGATTTAATTTTGCAATTTTTAAAATTCTACATTTTTCGATTTTTCGAGTTTTCAGTTCTTTATTTCCATTTTTCCATTTTCCGAATTTTTAAATTTTCGATTTTCCAATTTTTCAATTATTCCATATTTCTATTTTCCAATTTTTCAAATTTTGACATTACTACATTTTCAGTTTTCCGATTTCTCGATTAATCTATTTTTGATTTTACCATTTCTCGATTTCTCAAAGTATCGATTTTTCGGTTTCTCAATTCTTCGATTATTCCATTTTTCGATTTCTCAATTTTCCCATTTTTGAATTTCTCAATTTTGGATATTTATATCAGTTTTGGAATTTTCCAATATTTCGATTCGTCGATTTTTCGATTTTTCGACTTCTGGATTTTTTGATTTTTTATTTTTTTGATTTTCAGTTTTTCGTTTTTAAACTTTAGATTTTTCAATTTTTCGACTGTTTTATATTTCCTCTTCTCAATTTTTCAACTTTTCAATTTTTATAATTCTAGAATTTTCGATTTCTCAAATTTTCAGTTCTTCTAAATTTAAATTTTTCATTTTTCGAATTTTTAAATTTTCGATTTCTCGATTTTCCTGTTTCATGATACGACTTCTCTATTTTGTCCTCTCCAATTTTACGATTTTTTGAAATTTCGATATTCCAATTTTTCAAATGTTCCGATTTTTGAGGCAAGTTTTTCATTTTCCCATTTCTCGACTTCCCAAAGTTTCGATTTCTCACTTCTTCAATTCTTCAATTTTTTAAGCTTACGATTTTTCGGCTTGACTTTTTTAGTTTTTCGGTTTCTCAATTTTCCAATTTTTTATTTTCTTGATTTTTTGGCAATTTTCAACTTTTCGATTTTTGGACACCTGGATTTTTTGATTTCTCGATTTTTTTATTTTTGGGATTTTCAATTTTTCGTTAAACTTTAGATTTTTCAATTTTTCGAATGTTTTCTACTTCAATTTCTCAATTTTTCAACTTTTTGATGATTTAATTTTGCAATTTTTCTAATTCCAGGTTTTTCGATTTCTCGAGTTTTCACTTCTTTTATATGTCAATTTTCCAATTTTCCGAATTTTTTAATTTTCGATTTTCGCATTTTTTTTTGTTTCTTGATGTTTGCATTTCTCGATTTTTCAATTTTGCGATATTTTAATTGTACAATGTTTTAAATTTTAGATTTTTCGATTTTTCAGTTCTTCAGTATTTTTATTTTTTCGCATTTTGACGTTGCTAAATTTTCAGTTTTCCGATTTTTTATTTTTGATTTTCCCATTTCTCGACTTTGCTTTATTGGTTTTTAGATTTTTCAATTTTTCAATTTTTTAATTTCTCAATTTTTCGTTTCTTCGACTTTTCCATCTTTCGATTTTTCGATTTTTCGTCTTATGGACTTTCAATTATTGGCTGTTTATATTTCGATTTCTCACTTCTTCAATTCTTCAATTTTTTACGCTTAAGATTTTTCGACTTGACTTTTTTAGTTTTTCGGTTTCTCAATTTTCCAATTTTTTATTTTCTTGATTTTTTGGATATTTCTATCAGTTTTCTGGATTTTTTGATTTCTCGATTTTTTTTATTTTTTGGATTTTCAGTTTTTCGTTAAACTTTAGATTTTTAAATTTTTCGACTGGTTTATACTTCGATTTCTCAATTTCTCAACTTTTTGATGGTTTAACTTTGCAATTTTTCTAATTCCAGGTTTTTCGATTTCTCGAGTTTTCACTTTTATATGTCAATTTTCCAATTTTCCGAATTTTTAAATTTTCGATTTTCGAATTTTTTTTTTTTGTTTCTTGATGTTTGCATTTCTCGATTTTTCAATTTTGCGATATTTAAATTGTTCAATGTTTTTAATTTTAGATTTTTCGATTTTTCAGTTCTTCAGTATTTTTATTTTTTCACATTTCGACGTTGCTAAATTTTGAATTTTCCGATTTTTTATTTTTGATTTTCCCATTTCTTGACTTTGCTTTATTGGTTTTTCGATTTCTCAATTTTCCAATTTTTTAATTTCTCAATTTTTCGATATTTCTTCTAGTTTTGGCATTTCTCAATATTTCGTTTCTTCGATTTTTCATCTTATGGACTTTCAATTATTGGCTGTTTATATTTCGATTTCTCAGTTTTTCAATTTTTAGAAAAATTAATTTTTCAATTTTTAAAATTCAAGATTTTTCGATTTCTCGAATTTTCAGTTCTAAGTATATTTTAATTTTTGAATTTTTGAATGTTTAAATTTTCGATTTTTCAATTTTTTGAGAATTAAAAAATTTCGAGAATTGAAAAATTGAAATATAGAAGACCTGAAAACTCGATAAATCGAAAAACCTAAAATTTAAAAAACTGAAAAGCTAAAATATCGAAAGTTGAAAATTTGAGAAATCGAAGTAAAAAACGAAAAATGAAAAATCCAAAAAGTAATAAATCCACAAATCAAAAAATCTAAGAATCCAAAAATCGAAGAGTCGAAAAATCGAAATACATAATTAAAAATCCCAAAACTGAAAGAAATATCTAAAAAATTAAAAAATTGTAAAATTGAGAAATCCAAAAACTAAAAAACCAAAGTCGAAAAATCGTAAACTTAAAAAATTGAAAAAGTCCAAAACTGAAATATTGAAAAATTGAAACACCCAAAAAACCTGAAAATTCGAAAAATTGAAAAATCAAAAAAAAAGTTAAAAAAAATAATCCGAAGAGTAAAAAGTCGAGAAATCGAAAAATCCAGAACTAGAAAAATCGAAAAATCGAAATACTAAAAAATCCCAAAACTCAAATATCGAAAATTCAAAAATCGAAAAACCAAAAAATCACAAAATTGAACGAAATATCCAAAAATTGGATATCAAAAAAGCAAAGTTGAGAAATCGCAAACTTAAAAACTCTAAAAATTGAAAAATCAAAAGTTCGAAAAATTGAAGAATTGAAAAATCGAAATTTTGGGATGCCGAGAAATGGGAAAATAAAAAAAATACTTCAGAAATCGGAAAACTGAAAATTTATATACGTCAAAACTTGAAAAAGTTGAAAAATCGTATCATTGAAACATCGGAAAATTTGAGAAATCGAAAAATTAAAAAATCGAGGAGTCGAAAATTTGAAAAATAGAAATATTGAAAAAGTCCAAAATTGAAATATTGAAAAATTGAAACACCAAAAAAAACTGAAAATTCTAAAAATTGAAGAATTAACAAAAGTTTAAAAAACGAAAAATTGAAAATCCAAACAGTGAAAAGTCGAGAAATCGAAGTACTAAAAAATCACAAAACTCAAATATCGAACAATTGAAAAAAAATTGAAAATTTGAAAAACTGAATAATCACAAAATTGAACGAAAAACCCAAAAATTGGAAAATTAAAAAATTGAAAATTTGAAAAACATAAAAAATCGAAAAAAATGAAGAACTTATATTTTGTCCATTTTTTCATAATTTACGAAGTCTTCTTTCCCCAACAAGAAACTGAAAACATGTTTAACTATCCTGTTGTTGACAGTTGGGCCCCCATGTCCTCAATCCGACACTGAAATGATCACATCCGCCCTGATTTCTAATTTCGCGATTCCCCCAACTTTCCCACTTCAATCTCTATTTCGATAAAGCAGATAAAATTGAAATTTTCTGAAGCCATAAAACCCCCAGCTTCTTACCCTTTTCTCCATAAATTGACGCAACACTACCAGTTTAGGCGGAACCCGAGTTCGCCACGAACAAACCTGTAGCGAGCAGATAAGCTTTGTATTTAAAGTCGCTTCATTTACCATGAAAATAGTGCCTTGACACTTTAATCATCGATTCCCCGTGTAATTTATTCCCTTTGTGTTATTACTTTGTTTGATACCTAATTTAGCAGATGGCAGTTCATTTCACGACGATGAATGTCTAAATCGATTCCGCGGAAGCCGCGGATTCGAGCTTTGCGGTATAGGAAAAAGCAAACTTTGGTATTTTTTTTATTTTATCATTTGGAGACTACTGAAAGTTGCTTAAAAATACACAAAATAATATGTTGTATGTCGTAGGTGATTTTTGAAAAATTGTAGAAATTTTTGAAGAAATGAAGCCGAAAAAAATTTCTGAAGGTCAAAATTTGCAAAAAATCTCTTTGAACCATTTTGGAAGACGGTCAAAGTTTTCGTGAGAGCTTTGAAGAATTGAGTTCATGGAAAAGTTGTCAAATATTCCCGGAAAACGATTTTCAAAACAGTAAATTTGAAAGTATTTCTTTTTTTATTTTAAAAATTTGTCATTTTTCGTATTGGCAGTTTTGGAAAAAATGAACCCGAAAATATCTTTTTGAGGTTGAAACTGCAAAAGAATCTCTTTGGGTAATTTTCAAAAGTGGTAGAAAATTTGAAAAAATAAACGTGGAGACCGAAGTTGACAAAACAATTCTTTAAGTAATTTTGGAAGGTGGTTAAAAAAGTCAAAATTTTCATAAGGGAAGAAAAATTGAGCTTTTGAAAAGGTTGCCTAAAAATCGACAAGGGACACGATTTTAGAAACAAACAATTTAAAAGTAAATTTTTTTGAAAATACAAAAATTACTATATTTCATATTGGTAATTTCGGAAAAATCAGGGCGATTTTCGAAGAAATAAAGGCGATAATAGCTTCTGGAATAAAACATTCATCACAATCGAGAAAGGGTGGGTGGGCGGGGCTTATATTTTGTCAATTTTTTCTTAATATACGAAGTCTTCTTTTCCCAACAAGAAACTGAAAACATGTTTAACTATCGTGTTGTTGAAAGAAAACTCTATATACAAAGAAAAACATAAAGATTAAGCCCCACCCACCCGCCTCAATCCCAATTATGATGAATTTCATATAGCAATTTCTTGTAAAGAAATGAGGATTTTGCAACTAAACTCCGCCCTTCAGCTCACGATGAATAAAATATTCATCACAATTGAGAAAGGGTGGGTGGGCGGTACTTATTTTTTTTCCGTTTTTTCTTAATATACGAAGTCTTGTTTTCCCAACGAGAAACTAAATACATGTTTAACTATTTTATTGTTGAAAGAAAAATGTATATATTAAAAAAAAACAAAGATTAAGCCCCACCCACCCACCCAATCGAAGTTGTGATGAATTTCATATATAATTTCTTGTAGAGAAAGAGAATTTTGTATCCAAACTCTCCCCTTCAACTCACGATGAATAAAACATTCATCACAATTGAGAAGGGGTGGGTGGGTGGGGCATATATTTTGTACATTTTTTCTTAATATACCAAATTTTTTACGACAAGAAACTCAAAACATGTTTAACTATCGTCTCGTTGAAAGAAAACTCTATATTAAAAAAAAACAAACAAAAATTAAGCCCCACCCCCCGCCCTAGTCTCAATTGTGACGAATTTCATATGATAATTTCTTGTGGAGAAATGAGGATTTGCAAGTAAACTCCGCCCTTCGGCACAATATGAATAAAATATTCATCACAATTGAGAAGGGGTGGGTGGGCGGGGCTAATATTTCGTCCAATTTTCCTTAATATAGGAAATATTCTTTTTCCAACAAGAAACTGAAAATATGTTTAGCTATCCTGTTATTGAAAGAAAACTCGATATAGGTATTAAAAAAACAAAAGAAAATAAGCCCCACCCACCCGCCCCAGTCTTAGTTGTGATGAATTTCATATGTAATTTCTTGTAGAGAAACGAGAATTTTGTATCCAAACTCCGCCCTTCAGCTCACTATGAAAAAAATATTCATTACAATTGAGAAGGGGTGGGTGGGCGGGGCAAATGCTTTCTCCATTTTTTCTTAATATACCAAATCTTCTTTTTACGACAAGAAACTGAAAACATGTTTAGCTATCGTGTTGTTGAAAGAAAACTTTATATATTAAGAAAAAAACAAAAAAAATTAAGCCCCGCCCACCCGCCCAAGTCTCAATTGTGACGAATTTCATATGGAAATTTCTTGAAGAGAAATGAGAATTTTGCAACTAAACTCCTCCCTTCAGCTCACAATGAATAAAACATTTATCACAATTGAGAAGGGGTGGGTGGGCGGGGCTTATTTTTTTCCGTTTTTTCTTAATATGCGAAGTCTTGTTTTCCCAACAAGAAACTGAAAACATGTTTACCTATCCTGTTATTGAAAGAAAACTCTATATATTAAAAAAAAAACGAAAATTAAGCCCCGCCCACCCACCCCAATCTCAGTTGTGATGAATTTCATATAATAATTTCTTGTAGAGAAATGAGAATTTTGCAACTAAACTCCGCCCTTCAGCTCACTATGAAAAAAATATTCATTACAATTGAGAAGGGGTGGGTGGGCGGGGCAAATGCTTTGTCCATTTTTTCTTAATATACCAAATCTTCTTTTTACGACAAGAAACTGAAAACATGTTTAACTATCGTGTTGTTGACAAAAAAACTCTATATATTAAGAAAAAAACAACAAAAATTAAGCCCCACCCACCCGCCCAAGTCTCAATTGTGACGAATTTCATATGGAAATTTGTTGAAGAGAAATGAGGATTAGCAACTAAACTCCACCCTTCGGCTCACGATGAATAAAACATTCATCACAATTAAGAAGGGGTGGGTGGGCGGGGCTTATATTTTGTCCATTTTTGCTTAATATGCGAAGTCTTCTTTTCCCAACAAGAAACTGAAAGCATGTTTGACTATCGTGTTGTTGAAAAAAACCTCTATATATAAAAAAAAAAATTAGTTATTATATTTTCAGCCGAATCGGCTATCAGTTCGGCTTTAAATCGCTTATTGAATTTTCCGCCCAAAGCACTGCATGCACAATTTAATACTTTATCATCGACCCAAAAAACTAATCTCAAATTCCTCAGCTGATTTAGCCACAATTCGAAAACCGGAAACATCGGTCTTTTTAAGATTGTCCCTGTCCTCCCGTGCATTAAAATTAATTCCACTCTTCCCTCAGGAGCTCAACCTCAACGAAACCCCTTCAATGCTGACAATACTGGACAACGGCTACAGCAACTGCTCCCCATCCCCCGGGAACATCCAGGTCTGCGTAGGGTACAAAAATCACTGGGACATAGTGAACGGTCACTCGAACTACGCCCAGCACTTACACACTGTAGAGCTCTCGAGGCCTCATTTGGTCGCCGCACTCGATTTATACGAAGACCAGGAGATCCAGCTGTTGCTGTGCTACAACCGTAAGTCCCGTCCGACTCAACCTAATAAAAACACATTTTGTCGGAAAAGAAAACCAATTTCGGTTTCGCTTTGTTGCAGATACATGCCACTTCCAGAAAATAAACGAAGACAGCTCGACCTCGACAGACTTCGACTTCCACTGGAACTCGGTGCCTACGGATATCGGTGAGTGGGCGAGGGGAAATGCGGGACGGGAAAGCCCTAAATGTGTGATGAAATTTCAGTTTGCGCTTTTCCGTACGTCGTGGCTTTCATGAACAATTCCATGGAGATTCGGCTTATTGTGAACGGGAATCTTGTTCATACGATGTCCATGCCGAGGATGCAGCTGGTGGCGGGGAAGAGCGATATTTTCTTCGCGACGACGGCGCCGGAGTTCTTTCCGTCGAAGACTGACAGGCTGGCGGTGGAGAGGCAGCAGGAGTTGCAGAGGCTGTCGCCGCCGGCTAGTCCGAACAGTAAGTAGCTAAGTTGTGTGGCAGTGGAACTTATTATGAGATAGAGGAAATAAAGTGGCGTCGATGGGACCATTTCGGGTTGTTCCCACACCGGATATCCCTATATTGTGTCCAGTCCCAAGGGACTTTGTAGTCTCGAGATTGCGACTCTTGACAATCTAACGCGTTCATTGAACGTAGATGACGTCTCCAAACATACACAACCTAGTCTAAAAAGTAGGTCGAATGTTACTTTTTTGAAAAAAAAAAGATGTTTTTTGCGATTTTTGTTTTCTGATAACCTATATACAGTAAAAGCCGTTGAAATTTTTCAATTCTTCAATTTTTCATTTTTTTGTTTCTTCAATTTTTCGAGTTTTCAATTTCCAGTTTTTTGTTTCTATTTTTTTCTTAATTTTTTTAATTATTCGATTTTTCAATGTCTCAATTTTATAATTTTTTGTTTCAATTTTTCGATTTGTAATTTTCCAATTTTCCTTTTTGTTTATGCGACTAATCGATTTTATCAGTTTCTGTTTTTCCAATTTAAGTTTTTTTCAATTTTTCTAGTTCTCATTCTAAATATACATATAATATTGATAATAATTTTTAAAATTTTCCATTTTGCAATTATTGGATTTTAAAAACATTGTTATTTATTAGGCTTTTCATATCTTCAAATTTTCAATTTGTAATTTTTCGTTTCGGTTTTAAATATATTTTCTTTATTTTTACAATTTTTTGACTTTCCAGTGTTCGGATTTTATCGTTTTCAATTTTATTTCTCTTCAATTTTTTATTCTTCGATTTTTCAATTTTTCGGTTTTCAATTTTTAGATTCGGTGTTTTATTTTTTTATTTTTTCAATTTTTCGGTTTTTCAACGTTCTGATTTTATCATTTTTCTCTTTTCACTGTGAAATTTTTCAGTTTTTGAATCTTCAATTTTTCGATTTTGTAACTTTCAGATTTTTTTATTTTTCATTTTTAAAATGTTTCACATTTATAATTTTACGATTATATTATTATATTATATTTTCAAGTTTTCGATTCTTCAATTTTTGATTTGCAATTTTTCTAGTTTTCATTTTAAATATATATAATACAATTTTTAATGATTGGATTTTGAAAACTATCATTTATTAGACTTTTAAATTTTTCGATTTTCAATTTTTCGTTTCGGTTTTATATTTTCATTATTTTACAATTTTTCGATTTTTCAGTTTTTCGTTTTCCAACTTTTTAATTGATCAATTTTCCGATTCTTCAATTTTTGATTTGCAATTTTTCTAGTGTTCATTTTAAATATACATATAATAATTATAATAATTTTTAAAATTGTTCCATTTTTCAAAATTTTTTATTTATTAGCCTCTTCAATTTTTCGATTTCTAACGTTTCAGTTTTTCATTTCTTCAAATTTTCGATTGGCAATTATTCGTTTCAGTTTTATATTTTCTTTATTTTTACAATTTTTTTAGTGCTTTTCCATTTTTTGTTTCTTCGATTTTTCAATTTTTCTTGTGCTCAATTTTTTTTCAAAGTTCTGATTTTATCATTTTTCTCTTTTCGCTGTGAAATTTTTCCGTTTTTGGATCTTTCAATTTTTCGATTTTGTAACTTTCAGATTTTTTATTTTTCATTTTTAAAATATTCCACTTTTCCAATTTTATGATTATATTATCATTTTTTCAATTTCCATTTATTGGATTTGAGGACTTTTTCATCCACTCGACATTTTAATTTTTCGATTTTTAATTTTTCAACTTTTCGATTCTTCAATTCTTGATATGCAATGTTTCTAGTTTTCATTTTAAATATACATAATACAATAATGATAATAATTTTTCAAATTTTTCCAATTTTTAATGATTGGATTTTAAAATCTTTTTTATTTATTAGACTTCAATTTCTCATTTCTTCAAATTTTCATTTGCAGTTTTTCGTTTCGATTTTATATTTTTTATTTTTAAAATTTTTGGATTTTTCAGTTTCAGTTCTTTCAATTTTCGATTTGCTTCTTTTAATTTTTCATTTTTTGTTGTTTCTTCGATTTTACGTGATGCAATTCCTCGAGTTTTGATTATTAAATTTTTCACTTTTCCAACATTTACATGTTTCAATTTTTAGATTTTGAAATTTTTTCGATTTGCAGTTCGACGGGTTTTTAATTTTTCAATTTTTCGAATTTACAGTTTTTCATGTCTCCAATTTTTCGGTTTAATTTAATATTTTTATTTTTCATTTTTAAAATTTTTCGGTTTTTCATAATTTTTCTCTGTTCAGTGTGAAATTTATCAATTTTTGGATCTTTCAATTTTTCAATATTTTAACTTTCAGAGTTTTTAATTTTTATTTTTAAAATGTTTCACTTTTCCAATTTTACGATTACATTATTATATTTCCATTTTTCAATAATTGGGTTTCAGAACTTTTTCATTTACTCCACATTTCTATTTTTCGATTCTTCAATTTTTGATTTGATACATATATTAATTATTGATAATAATTTTTAAATTTTTTCATTTTTCAGTTATTGGATTTTGAAAACTTTCATTTGTTATTAGACTTTTCAATTTTTCATTTCTTCAAATTTTCGATTGGCAATTATTCGTTTCAGTTTTATATTTTCTTTATTTTTACAATTTTTTTAGTGCTTTTCCATTTTTTGTTTCTTCGATTTTTCAATTTTCCTTGTGCTCAATTTTTCGGTTTTCAATGTTTAGTTTCGGTTTTTTATTTATGTTCAATTTTTCGGTTTTTCAACGTTCTGATTTTATAATTTTATTTTCTCTTTTCACTGTGAAATTTTTCAGTTTTTGGATTTTTCAATTTTTCAATTTTTTTATTTTTCATTTTTAAAATGCATCACTTTCCAATTTTAAGTTTATATTATTATTTTTCCATTTTTCAATAATTGGATTTTAGAACTTTTCAATTTACTGGACATTTCAATTTTTCGATTTTTAATTTCTCAATTTTTGATTGGCAATTCTATTTTAAATATACTTATAACAATGATAATAACTTTAATTTTTTTTCCATTTTTCAATTATAGGATTTTAATTTTTTTTATTTGTTCAATTTTTAATTTCTTCAAATTTTCAATTTGCAATTTTTCTTTAGGTTTTATATTTTCTTTATCTTCACAACTTTTCGATTTTTCAGTGTTCGGATTTTATCATTCTCTGTTTTTTCATTTTTTGTTGTTTCTTGAATTTAACGAGATGCAACGCCTCGAGTTTTTATTTTTAAATTTTTCAGTTTTTCGCTTTTCCAAATTTTGGATCTTTCAATTTTTTAGATTTTGAAATTTTTCGGTTTGACGAATTTTCAATTTTTAATTGTTCAATTATTCAATTTTTCAATTTTTCGGTTTGTAGTTTTTAGGTTCGAGTTTTTATTTTTTATTTATAAAAAAAATTCTTTTCAGAGTGAAATTTTTCACCTTTTTGGGATCTTCCAATTTTTCAATTTTTTAATTTTTGTTTTTCAATATTATCTTTCCATGTTTCAATTATTAGATTTTAGAAGTTTTTCATTTATTCGACTTTTCACTTTTTCGGTTCTTCATTTTTTTCACTTCTTCAAATTTTCGGTATGTAGTTTTTCGTTTGGGTTTTTTATTTTTTGTTTTTTCAATTTTTCGTTTTTTTTGTTTCTTTAATTTTTTAATTTACAATTTTTGAATTTTTCATTTTTTTGTTTATTTAATTTAATGAAATGCAACTCTTCGAGTTTCTATTTTTAAGTTTTTCAGTTTTTCGATTTTCCAACTTTTGAATGTTTCAGTTTTTAGATGTTGCAATTTTTCGATTTTTTTATTATTCTAAAATTATATGCTTTATTCGATTTTTAAAATGTTGCAGTTTTTCGAATTTACAATTTTGACGATTGTATCGTTTTTCAATTTTAAAATTTTTGGGTTTTCCTAATTTTCCATTCAATACGTTTTTTCTTCTTTACGATTTTTGAATAAAAAATTGGAAAAATTGCGAAATTCTAAAATTAAAAAAATGAAAATTGAAAAACGGAAAAGCATAAAATGAAAACCTTGAAAAACTTAAAAATTGGGAATCAAGATCTTGAAAAATTAAGGAAACGAAAAATTGGAAAATCGAAAGATAAAAATTGAGAAACTTAAAAATCGGGAAAATTGAAAATTAAAGAAATCGGAAAAATAAAAAATCTGAAGAACTTGAAATTTTGGGGAAACGAAAAACTAAAAAATCAAATATTAAAAATTAAAAAAATGAACAGCTACAAATCAGACAATTGAAAAAACGAAAAATTGGAACATTTGGAAGTCCAGAAATTGAAAAATAAAAAACTAAAGTTGAACGAACGAAAAATTATGAAACCGAAATACTGAAAAATAGAAAATTAAAAAATTCTAAAATTAAAAACTAAAATGGAAAAACCAAAAAGTAGTAAATAAAAGTCTTGAAAAACTTAAACTCTTGGAAAAATTGAAAAATTAAGGAAACGAAAAATTGAGAAATTTCAAAATCGGAAAAGTGCGAAAGAGCAAAATTGAAAATTAAAAAAATCAGAAAAATATAAAGTAAAAATCTGAAGAACTTGAAAATTTGAGGAAACGGAAACTGGAAAATCAAAAATAAAAAAAAAACGAAAAACCAAAAAATGAAAAATTGTAACACCGAAAAGTTAAAAAAATTGATAAACTGCAAATCGAAAAAGTGAAAAAACGAAAAATTGGAAAAGTTGTAAGTCCAGAAATTGAAAAATAAAAAATTAAAGTTGGACGAACGAAAAATTATGAAACCGAAGCACTGAAAAATGGAAAAATTGAAAAATTGTGATATCAAAAAATTGTAAAATTGAAGAAAAGGGAGACCCGAAAAATTGCGATATCAAAAATTGATCGAGGTATAACATTAATTTTGCGAATTTTATTTTTTCCTTTTTTTTCAATGTGAAAATTTTCAATCTTTGGATTTTTCAATTCTCCGCTTTTTCAATACCCTGATTTTATAATTTTTCTTTTTCCAATGTGAAATT